ACAGAAATATTTTGGAAGTGTCAGCATTTTTAAAAACCTTTAAAAAGGACCTATTGTCACATGTCAGTCAAATTTCTGCCTACTGCTACCGGTATTGGAAAGGGCCTAAAGCATTCAGAAATCCAGTGATCTCATCACCATTCAAATTCATTCCTTTAATGGTCAGGTACACCTTGTAAATCTAATCCAAAGGATCACCCTTATTATGAGCTTACATTTTTCAGCCAAGATGCTATCAGAGTTATTTTAAGCAGGGCTTTTTTTGTCATAGAACGCCCAGATGGAGTTCCGGCACCTTTTTTGGATGGAACCTTGCAAGGCGGGTTGTATGATATGTGTGAGTTCCAGCACCTTTTTTTTACAAAAAAGGCACTGATTTTAGGTAATTGTAAAACTGGACTCTTGCTAAATAGCTTTTGTTAAAGTATCAATAATTTGATGGTGCTTATGTCTTCATAGCCATTTGGCATTTTTCCTTAAGAGTTTCCATAAAACCCTAGTAATGTCAGCAGATGTGATTACCTATTAAATGAAAAGCTCCTGAATTTTTAACTGCTTCGTATACCTTGGTGAAAGGCTAGCATACAAGCTTTTATCTAAATCAATTTTTCTTCCTCCTGGCTCCAATGTTATGCTGCAGTGTTTAATCTTTTATTTTACGGGCTGTATTTTCCTCCAAATTTATTGTAAATCTAGAGTCAGTGCCTTCAAATACTTCCTATTGTAAACCTAGTGTCTCTTAGAGTTAGTGCTATTCAGTATTTCCAGATACCAATACAGTACAGGTAATCATTGTTTACATGTTTGCAGTTGTGACGGTGATGAAAACCATGATCAGTCCTCACATTTATGACCTTTGCAGATCTACAAAGCAAAGGAAAGCTGAAGTAACATCATAAAATTGTGATGTTTCACTTAGCAGCTACTTTGCTTAGTGACTGAGTTGCCAATCCCAATTGTGTTTACTAAATGATGACTATATGTATTATATAATAATACAATTACAGTCTGCATTGTTGGATAAGAGCTTAATCTCTTATAATGTTGCCAATGTGGCTAAAGATATATGATTAGGGAATTTGAAATTATCATATTAGGAAAAGTTGGAACATAAATTCCTTTTATACATAGCAGTTCTAATTCCCCAATTTACTGGAATGGAAAAGAATGGAAGGAAATAACACTAGCCTTCCCAATGGTTAATCAGAGAGCAATTATCTATTGCCTAAGAGTAGGTATTTGTCCCAGAACTGGGACAGGTGTGCACCACCTTATATCTTGTAAATATAAAGAAATGAGAATTGCAGAAGTAAGTGATAAGACAAGAACATGATATTACCAAAGCCCCTCAGCCATAAAACTCAACTTTGAGAATTTTATGTTAACTCAAGTATCAGCCTACAAACGGGGTAGGAAACTATTTGCTAATCACAGACTTGAGTTTAAGCCTCTGTCAGATCTGCCCCCATGCAAGCTCCTTTAATCAGCAGGGCTTCTGCAGTGTGGAGATTTGAAAGAGTGCTGATCCCACATGGGCCAAACTGTATGGCAAAACCCAGTATATCCCAGAGCTTGTGAATCAGTCGATCTGCAAGTGGTGGAGATAACACCCATTGCCTGTTTTAATCTGTCATCTGCTATTTCAAATATATTACCTTTTAGAGCCTATTGAATAGATCAGTGATGGCGAACCTTTTAGAGACCGAGTGCCCAAACTGCAACCCAAAACCCACTTATGTACCATTGGGTGCTGGATGGGTGTGGCCCATCGGGTGGGCGTGGCTGTGGTGGTAACAGCAGACTGGGTGGGACTAAAAAGTTCAATCAATCAATTCCAACTTTGCGAGATCTTTTTTTCCCCGTGAGAAGTTGAAATTGATTGATTGATTGAACCTTTTTTTTTTTTGCACATGGCGGTGGAGACCTAAAGCAAAAAGGTTTTATAAAACTCAGCTGAAGGCCTAGGACTGGGGCGACGGCGTGCATGTCCACAGAAAGGGCTCTGCGTGCCACCTGTGGCATGCATGCCATAGGTTCGCCACCACGGGGATAGATGATCTGCAGTTTATAGTTGGTGATGCTGGCACTAAGAGACCTCATTTTCAAAGTGCCAGATTCTCACTTTCTCTAAAATAGGATGTCCTTGGAACAGTGTTAGAATAGGTGGTGCTTCCTAGAACCAGCATGAAGTAACCAATAGGGTGTTGGGTTGATCCCTCCCATGTGGGAGAGTTACTGCCTCTGAGATAATGAGTAGTGAAGTTAATACAGATTTTATATAACTTACTACTGCTTCCAGGGGAAAACAAGATGTTAACATGGAAAGAATAAAGATGAATTAAAGCTGATCAGGTACAGATTTCAGAGAAGATGAAGACAAAAGCATGAAGATAAGAGGTTGCCCTATGTGTAGATGAAAGTGGGGAAAGGATCTCTGTTTTTGTGTATCCACCTTGACTTGAGATTGCATCTATTGCCTAACGATTCCTTCAACATTTGTACAGTTAAAACCTTGGTTTCCAATGAAATAATTGTAGTTTCTTGCTAACTATGCACCTGACCTCCTACTGTTGTTATTGGTGCTATTTCGGTTTATTGCCATCTTGCCTTTCATTATTTCTACTTATCTGCTGCCTTCTTTCCTCTAGAATTACTTAGATCTACAAGGATTTTTATCTTCTCTTTGTTCTTGTGGTCACAGTTTACTCTGTTCAAGCATTATCTTGTTTTGGCTATCTTCTAGTATTTCATCATCTTAGTTTTTCTGACTGCTGGATATTGACTTTGATTTTTCACTTGAGTTTTATTGAGGCATAAAGGATAGCTGTTTTATAATTTTATTCTTTAGAATGCACATATAATTAGTAGTTATAGGCCGTATTATCATTATTATTAGGCAGCTTGGGGATATTAGGACTTCTTTGTTACAAGCAAGTAAATATAATCAGAATTAAGCTTAGAACAAATATGTTCATTATTTTAAGACAGCACGAAAATCTATACTGCTACTATATCCTAAGATTTACCTAATCTTACAGATATAATTTTCATATTTAATAAATGTTTTATTTTTATTCTGGTTATTTCATTTTATTTTAGTTTCATTATGCTTACATTTGTCTATGTGCCTTATTCGATATACAAATTTGAACAAATGGGCACAATATTTATACAGATATTTTAAACTGGGGTCTCTATCCAAAGATCACAACTAAGGAGCAATTTATGGGAAACACTGCTTAAGTTAATTTCCTATAAGGGATTTAAGTATATGGCTAATTTTGAATGGAAATGAATGAGGCTTCAAAGCATTTGAGTCATGACTTGACAAACAGAGTCAACTTTTAAAAGTAACTCTTTTGTTTGCATGCTTAATATTCATATGGACTCTGTTAGATCCTTCTCTTTAGAGCAGTGGTTCTCAACCTTTTTAATGCCGTGACCCCAACCGGTCGTACGTCAAGGACTAAACCGGTCGTAAGTCGAGGACTAAACTGGTTGTAAGTCAAGGACTACCCAACCGGTCGTAAGTCGAGGACTTTCCCTGCCCGGGAGCGCCGCACATGCGTGGTTCCGCCCCCTGCGCCAGCCGAGGCGTAGCTGGTAAGCGGCAGAGACGGAGCAGGCCGACCACCAGCTGGCCCAGCCCAAGGGAGGTAAGGCACCCGCCGGAAAAGGGGGAAAAAAATGGACAAAAAAAATGGCGGACAAAAAAAATGGCGGACAGCCTTGCTTGGCGACCCCCATGAAATGGTCGATCGACCCCAAATGGGGTCCCGACCCACAGGTTGAGAACCACTGCTTTAGAGGAACATAAAGTCAAACTCTATCCCTTTTAGGGAGTTGGTCTGATGTATACAATCACCACGATACCAAAAAGATGTTGAGATGGTAGAGAGGGTGCAGAGAAGATCAACAAAGATGATTAGAGAGCTGGAGGCTAAAACATACAGTATGAAGAATAATCACAGGAATTGGGAATGTCTAGTCTAACAAAGAGAAGGACTACAAGTGACATGATAGCAGTCTTTCAATATTTGAGCAGCTGTCACAGAGAAGAAGGGGTCAAACTATTCTCCAAACCATCTGAGGTCAGAATAAGAAGTAATGGATGGAAACCTATCAAACAGAGATCCAACCTACCGTAGAACTAGGAAGAAATTTCCTGACAGTGAGAACAATTAACCAGTAGAATGGTTTGCCTCCAGAAATTGTGGGTGTGTCACTATAAGTTTTTAAGAAGAGATTGGACAGCCATTTGTCTAGAACGGTATAAGGTCTCCTGCTTGAGGAGAGGATTGGACTAGAAGACCTCCGAGGCCCCTTCCAGCTCTGTTATTCTGTATTCTGTGCCTTAACACAGAAGAAGGAAAATAAAATCCATCTTTGTTTAACTATAGAACTGTATCTTCAGAGATAATACATCTTTCTCCTTCACAGTCCCATGACGGCTATCATGACTCAAACAGTAGGCAAAGCAGAACCCTCAATTTTGTCACTGTTCTATCAGCCCATTATTCACATGCTGTAACAAATATGGCTACTCAATCTTCTTGTTTCATCAGGACACTTTTTCTAGGAGTGCAATCTGAAACAAGTATATGGATGATGATAATCTGTGGATAATTTTAATAAATGCCAGTATCTGATACTGGCATTTAATCAGTTCTGAGTAAATAGGAAATATAAAGTATTGATTGTGCTCATAATTTCTAGTGGTATAAGTCAAAGTTAGTTCATAGGAAGTCTTGATGTTACAATAAATAAATCAGGATTTGTTAGTTGCAAATGACTAAAAAATAATGTAGCAACTTAGAAATAAATGTTACTAAAATTATATTTGTTATTTTCTTTTTTTCAATAGTCTGATGTAGTCTCCTTTGAAGTGAGCTCCATCTTGTGGTAACACATACAAGACCAAGATACCGGTAATGCAAGTATGAGAGACAATAAGGAAGTAGGGGCATAACAGGAAAAATCCCATTTAGAGATTCATTCAATACATTCTGTTTCAGGTAAATTTAAGGCATTAATTTCTCCAGTGATTAAATTGGTTCAGACATCCACAAAACATCTGTGGTCAAACATGCAAGTTGTTTTCTAGACTGAATTCAGGAGGAATCTGTTTTTCTGCTATATATGGAAAAGGCTGTGTGCAGACTTGATTAATTGTTCAATGAACATTCCACTCAACACTCTTTCTATTGAAGATTCTTTCTAGTATATTAGCCTTCAAATGTATAGAAACAGAAATATGTACAGTATATATACGTTTCCAATAGAAAAATGCAAATGTGCAATGAAAAATATTTTGCCTGCAGAAGTTCTAGCAATCACCCATTGTTTTTTAAAGTGAAAAATAGTTGCTAAAATGGAGATACATACATTTTGTGAATATAGGTGTTATTATAAAAAGAAAGTTATATGCAGCAAAGTCATTTAACATTCCTTGAAGATTGTTTATGGAGTTTATTAGTGAAATATATAGCCAATAATTTCAACTGCAAAAATAATAATATGCTACTCCCAAAAATGATATTCAGCTACTCCAATGAAAATAGAAACAGATTTATTTATAAAATTAAAATATCTAAAGATATCAGACAATTATGATCGAGATATACCTAAGTATCCCCCCCCCCGATCCTCCTCCCTATTTTTTGTTCATTTGTCAGCTGAAAAAAAATATTTTTGGCATGCTTAGAAATATTAAATCAAATTAAATTATCAATCCTTTGTAAACAATGGGGTCCTGTTTTATCAGCAAGTAATGGAGAGAAAAAGAAGGGAATGAATTTGTAAATTTCGTTAGTTTATATGTCAGAAGACAAAGTTGACAGCCTTCATTACTGGGTTAAACCAACCTTAATCAAAGGCAATGGTTGCATTGTGTAATTTACTTTAGATGTCAAATGCTTGTATTTCTAATTCCATAACACATAGCATGATCTTAATATTTGTCTATTGAACTGCTTAGCTAAAGTATAGTCGTATCAACACTCTTATTTTGAAGATTCTTTCTTGTATATTAACCTTCAAATGAACATAGGTTTCCATATGTGGGGTCAAAAACTGAAGTACATTGTAATTTCAAGACATTATCGTTCTGATTAGTATGAATTTACATTTCTTTTCATGTTTATAAACAAATATAAATTTGTGAGGTATGGACACAAAACCAAAATTACAACTTACCAACTTATATTTAACTTATACAATATATGAATACAATACTTCTGCTAATTTTTGAAAACCATTTAATGGCTGACATTGTAATCTAGAAATTATGATCTCTAAAACATAGCTCAATTATTTTTATACTTTTCAGTTCCAAAGATTGATCCTGAATTAATTTATCACATAAGCATGGTTTGTTTTATAAATAACATTATTGTATTTTGTGGTTTCATAATAATAAAATCATTATTATATTTATAATGCCTTTTTAAATAGCATGTTAGTCTTTGAACTATTTCATTGCAATCACATGGGGTAATTGTAACCCATATACATTTTTTACTGCAGAATTAATAGAGAAGTAGAGTTATAAAACAGTCCTACCAAAAGATTATAATAAACAGTATTTCAAAATTACAAAAGTTTATCACTAATAGTTTTCTGATGCGTGGGATTATTTTGTGTGTGTGTGTGGGGCTGGGAGAAATCATTACAACATTTTTTCTCAGCAAAAATAATTTGATAAATGTAATGTTGAATTTCTTTTCAGAAATCTAAACAAGCCTGAACCATTCATCCCAAATCTATTGATTGTATCCCCCATAGTGATGTATTTTTGAAAACCCTCACAATCCAAAGAAGAAATATATGCCTATTTTTGTGGCTTTGTATCTAATACATTTTAGTATTTGAGCTAGATTTTAATATGAGGTAGGGCAATGCCATTTATGTCTCCTTCTTTGAGTTTATTTATGATCAAACCTAGCTGGGTTATCAGTTCAGTTTGGTCCCAGGTATTTTCTTTAGAGCTTTTAAGGGTCTTTGTCATTTATATTTATTTTGTTTAAAGTCTTCAAATAAAAAAAATGTATGAAATGTTGGCTTACTGCAAAGCCAGTGTCTGAGGCTTGTTATCCTTTTCATTTACAAGAATCCTTCAAAGCCCTACATGAGCACCACAGACATTCTTAGGTACTTCTTTGTCCCAAAATGAGAGACAAAGTTGAGGTACCTAGAAGCATCCTGGAGGCTGGATATCGTGAATGTTATTTTGTGACAAGAAAGTGTTTTGTGAATGGGCAGGGCTCCGCCTACCACTCTTGGCAGTCAACAGGAATTCTGACATGTAACTTTAGCTTTCCAAATGAGAATTTATATAACAGCTATTCAAATATCTGGAATCTGGCTTACTTTCTCACGTAGTCCCAAACTTTTAAAAATAGTCACTGAGGAGAGAGACCTAGCCTGGATTTGCAAAAATGTTTGGCAATTTATCTTACCACAGTCTGAAACAACTCTTACAATAAGTACCATTCAGCTAAATTGGATTACATTCTATTAAAAATATCTAACTTTTTTTTACAACACAAAGCATATGTGTCTCAGCCCAAATTATAATAGTTATAATATTCATGAACATCCCAACCATCCACCGTGTAATATTGAATATACTTCCTTTTTCTCACTAAATTTCATGATTGAGGTTCCATTTAGGATACTTATTTTCACTGTATCTGCCTCTTAAGAGTCCTCTCCCATCTAATTGCTCAGTTATCATCACTCTCTATGAAGATTCTCAGTTATCCAGGTCATGGTTGTCCCAAAAGTGCTTTCTTTTTTCTCTTTGAAGACATTTTGCTTCTCATCCAAAAAGCTTCTTCAGCTGACGGGATGGTGGGGAATGGAAGGATTTATATTCTTTGTAGACAGCTGGTCATTTGTATTCTTTTAGCGAGTTGTTAATGCCACCTAGATGCTTATCTGTGTCATCAGGGTCACCTGAATAGTGCAATTGGGTGTGGAGCCTTCTTGGAACTGTTGAAAGGACTGTGTTGTAGACTGAAGATGATGTCATATCCCTCCTCCTCTGTTGAGAGAAGGCTGTTCAATTTTGACCTAGATGGCCTCTTTGGCCCCTCTTTCAAACCAGTGGTCCTCTCTGTCCACATTTTTCATCACCATTGTAACTGTGAATTATTGCTGAACAAGGTAATTGCTAAATGAGAACTACCTGTAATTCTATTTTGTAGATTGTGTTTCATTTCTGGGTCTTGCATAGGTGATTCTATTGATTATGCTGTTTTTGTATCTTGACTTTTATTTTTATCCTAATTATAAAAGGGAAATTGTATGCCGCTAGGATCAATTCTGATTGAAGCAGCTTGTAAGTGCTCTAAAATGAATGAATGGATGAATGAAATCTCTGTTTACTGGGGTTTGTGATATAAAGAGTTGCAGCTGCTTTAAGAAGTTTCAGATATATGCTCAGTGCATATTCTCTCATGTTCTGAAGCAGAAGTAGTGGGCCTGAGCAATATGGGAATCATGTATACGAGATGGGCAACTGTATAAATGCAACAAATAAATATGAAGATCTCCCCTCATCTCAGTCATTCCAAATCTCCCTTTCCCCTTTTGCTTAACTTTCCACTTTGTTCAGTATCCTCCCCTTGCCCAGGGGAAAAGCTCTTATTTAGGCATACAAGATCTGAACTGTAAATCTGCAGGCACCACTAGATGTCAGCAAAGGGTAAGGTTTTCTGCATTTCCTTCCCGCAGATCATGGTTGTCCAAATGTTGCTGTATGTGTATGCTATCATGGCTATGTTAAAGCTATGGCACAAGATACAGGTAGTGATGGGAAGTCTACTTGGCCTACCTTAACCAAATTTATGCCATTGTTTTAATTCACAGTCTTATAAAGCCTGCCTAATGTTATTTGCCTTCCTGTTTAAGCATCATGTATCAAACTCTTTATTTTTCCCCCTGGTCTATAAGAGTTAGGAAATCATTATATTCTCTCCTCATATCATGCCTAGAGGGTTGCAGCTGTTGGAAATGCATAATCACAGATTTCAGCAATGATTTGTATGCAAGACTAATTGTTCATTGATGACCAAGCAGCAATTCTCCATAGCAACAATTCTGATTTTGTTTTATGGCAAAATAGTTTTATGGCAAAATATACACTAAAATCATGGGGGGGGGGAGAGCTAGCTTTTTAATGATAATAGTAGTTACCTTTCTGTGATTTTTTTAAAAATTGCTCTTTGGCTAAAGAAGGATGGTTTCTGAATTCTGTTGGTCAATTATAACAATGTCACTGCTCTGGCATAGTCTGCACTGGAGATCAGATTCCCTATTCCCTACTGACTTTTAAAAAACTCCTGAAAACAGAACTATTCTTGAGATATCCTCTGAACTTCATATTTGTCCATATTTGTCCATTTTTTCTTTATTTATTGTTCTTGTTTGTTGTTTGTTGATCTCATTATATGTTTTAATTGTACTGCGAATATTTTAATTAGTATGTATTGTAGGTATATATTGTATGCAAATGGCCGAGAGTGATTAGTTTGTGATGGGGTATGGGGACAATAAGTATTAGCATTTGATCTTGTTGATTTTAAAATCTCTTCTTTATTTAAACAGATGATCATCATGTCCCACTTAAAGGATCTCAAAGATGACTTTCACAGTGACACAGTCCTTTCCATATTAAATGAACAACGCATTCGGGGCATTTTATGTGATGTCACCATAATTGTAGAAGACACCAAATTCAAAGCCCATAGTAACGTCCTGGCTGCTTCAAGCCTTTATTTCAAAAATATATTTTGGAGTCATACAATCTGCGTTTCTGGACATGTGTTGGAACTAGATGGTCTGAAGGCTGAAGTGTTCACAGAGATACTTAATTACATCTATAGTTCTACAGTAATTGTTAAAAAACAAGAGTCTCTTGTGGATCTTGCCGCTGCTGGCAAAAAATTGGGAATATCTTTTTTAGAAGATCTTACAGAAAAGAGCCTTTCCAGTTCCCCTTGTCTGTACTCATTTTGCAATACTGAAAAAAATGATGTAAAAGAAGAAAAAAGACAGGAAGACTCAGCCATTACAAATGGACCAAGAATCACGAATGCATACTCAATTTTTGAAACTGAAAGTAGTAATAATTTGTTTTCTCCTCTTGACCTGAGGGCAAATTTTAAAAAAATGCCTGAAACAAATAAAGCATCCAATAGTGATCTGGACAGGACTGATGCATGCAAAGAGGTTGAAAGAGCCAGCACATTAGCTGAACATTCCTATGCTGTTACAACAGGTTGCAATGCTTTACAACAAAATTCCTTTTATTATGAAAACACCCCACTTTATAAAACAGGCGAAGATTGTTCTGAAGCTGCCGAGTTAGTGCCTCCAGTTAAATCAGTAACACGCTCATATAATGCACCAAAGGCTATATTTAACTCCCAGATTACAGATGCTCCTACTGTAAAGATATCAGCCCACAAGGGAAGTGGTTCAGAGGCTCCCGATAAAGTCATAAATGACCACAGCCATTCTTTTAAAAAATGCCAGGCAAACAAAGCCAATATTCTCTCTTCTAAGGAAAATGAAAATAAATCAGATAACCTTTCTGGATCAATAGCTATGGACATTCCACATCCTTACAACTGCAATTGTTGTACTAAATCATTTAATGATAAAACTCAGTTAAGCACTCATCTTAAACTTCATTCACAATCTCAAGAGACTTTAGTTTGCAAATATTGTAGCAAACAGTTTGAAAATATTGCTGGACTAGAGACTCATGAACAAGAATGTAGGGGTCTGAATAATTTGTGTGTTGAAAATGAAAATGAGCAGAATAGTCTGGATAATTTTGCTCCTTCAAATGAAAAAACTGGCACCTCGTATGTAAGCCCAGAGCCCACAGAAACTGAAAACGAAATTACTGATTATCCTGCTACAAACGGTACAATGCCAGAAACAGACCATTTTGTTAAAGTTGTTGGTGGACAGATACTTTATACTTGCAGTGTTTGTAAACGTACCTATGTTACCTTGTCTAGCCTCCGAAGACATTCAAATGTTCATTCTTGGAGAAGAACCTATCCATGCCATTATTGCAACAAAGTCTTTGCGTTAGCAGAGTACCGTACCAGACACGAAATCTGGCACACGGGTGAAAGGCGATACCAATGTATCTTTTGTCTTGAGACTTTTATGACATACTATATACTCAAAAACCATCAGAAATCTTTTCATGCAATTGATCACCGACTTGGTGTAAACAAGAAAACAGCTAATGGTGGCTTAAAACCAAATGTATATCCTTACAAGCTTTACAGGCTTTTGCCTATGAAATGTAAAAGGGCACCATATAAAAGTTACGGAAACTCATCATATGAAAGTGTACAAGTTAATGAAGTTCCATCTAGCACCTGTATTATTCAGAATACTGTCACTTCTGAACTGTCATCCTTGAATTTTGAACACAATATGTTGCCAGCTTCCAGTATTTCTTTGGATAGTTCTTCATGTGGTGATGCTACAGCAACATCTGAAAATCCTCCAAATGTTTCTTCCTGGAAAATTTCATCAAGGACAGATCTTAACAATAATGCTCCCACTAACAGAAGGACATTATCTTCTGTTGAGAATTCTGGTCCTCAGGAATATGATTCCTCTTGTCAAGCAATTAGTAATAGCAATTCCCATGAGAATTCAACCTCTGTTATTAGCTATAACAATCCAGCATCTTCTGTTATAGTGCATAGTGGAAGAGTTTCCTCAGTGATAATGCACAGTAATGCTGTCAATGCAGTAGGAAGAAGTGATAAGGGAACTTCAGATATTACAATCAATCAAGTAGCGAGCAATGATCTTATACATGAGTCAGACAATGGCAATAGTAGAACAAGAAGCAATAAAGAAAAGAAAAAGGTGCCCCTATATGACAGAGAAGCAACTTCAAAGGAAGTAAAATATACAACAAATACAGGGATACCTTCTAACACATCTACACACATCTTTGAAACTTCAAGTAAGACTGAAACTTATATCGCAAAACCTGCACTGCCAGGAACATCTGCTGACAGCAATGTTGCTCCTCTTTGCCAAATAACAGTTAAAATTGGAAATGAAGCTATTGTGAAAAGACATATTTTGGGGTCCAAACTGTTTTACAAAAAAGGTAGAAAATCTAAATATGAATCCAAAGGTGATCAGACAGTTCAGGTTGCAGAACGGGAAAAGAGAGAGAGAATCATGTCTCGAGTTTGTCAGGCAGACATTGAAAGTGAAATGGGCGATGATATCAGTGACCATGACTCTAATGATAAACCTTGGCGGCCATATTACAATTACAAACCAAAAAAGAAATCTAAACAACTAAGAAAAATGAGAAAAGCAAAATGGAGAGAGAAATACAGGAGCAGAAATTCCTGTCAGGAAAGTGAGAAGGCCTATGTCACCACTTATGCTCTTAGGAATATTCCTGAAGAGAAGGTCTGTAATCAAGAAGGAGAAGAGAAAATGCCAGATCTTTATTGTAAGCTCTGTGAAAGGGAGAATACTTCTACAGAAGTATCCCATGACCACTCACACTGGGAGACCACAGAGTCTGAGTCTTTCACTTGTGATTTATGCCAAAAGCATTTCCAGAGCAATTCTACCCTAAGGATGCATAAACGGTGCCATATGGGGGAGAAACCCTACCTTTGCAAAACCTGCGGGAAACGTTTTTCAATCTCTAGCAATTTACAGAAGCATGAACGCACCCATTCTGCCGTCAAGGATTTCATCTGTCAACACTGTAACAAAGCATTCACTCTCAACGAAACACTCAAAATACACGAAAGAATCCATACAGGAGAAAAGCGCTACCACTGTCAGTTTTGTTTTCAGGGCTTCTTATATCTTTCCACCAAAAGGAATCATGAGCAAAGGCATAAGCGTGAGCACACTGGAAAGGGCTACGCATGTTTTCAGTGCCCCAAGGTTTGTAAAACAGCAGCTGCTCTTGGGATGCACCAGAAGAAGCATTTGTTTAAACCACCCAAGCAAGAGGACAGAAAAGACTGTTTGTTTAATGAAAGCTCTAAATCATATAAAAGTCAACATTTCTTTGATTCAGAGCAACAGGAAACAGCTAAACCTCTGCTAACTAAATGCCTAACTGATGCAGAAAGTTTCAAAGCCAGTAATATTCAGAATACTGCATTGGATGCTGGACTCTGAGTAAGAAAAGGGTGCGGCAACAAAGATTAAAATAGAAAGATGAAAGGCCATAGATGCAAGTAATTAATGCAAAAAAAAATATCCAAATTTATGGAAGTTCTTAAAACTTGAGATATATATTTTTCACATAAATATATTGCATACTTTACATTTTAAATGTGCCATAAAAAGCAAATTTTGGAAACTATACTGAAGTTAATGAAGCCTAAAAAAGTATAAGGAGATATTAATATCCCTCAGAAGAAAGTTTATGTAAAAAAGAATATGCTTAACTGAAATGTTTAAAAGGATATTATAAAGGATTTACTGTTGTACTGGAAATATGCCTAACTTGTTAAGGATATGAATCATTTTGGGCAATTAAAAAATGAGTGATATCCATTCAGAATATATAGTAAGGTTAAAGTGTTTTCTGCTAGAAGAAATTACATCTTTCTTCCATAATTGGTTCAAAGGTCAACACTGTTTTAAAATTTTAATTTAGCCCTAGTTCAATGTGTACACAATAAGCATCTGGTTAAGATTCTAGCTTTTGTTATTTGAGTAGTCCACTCAGCCATTTTGTAAGAGGTTATGATTGGTTCGTCGTACAATCAGCCAGATGTATTATTATAATAAATATTTATATTCTTAACATGTACCACAATGTGTCATCAGCTCATTATATATTAGTGCTATCAGATTTGCAGATTTGCAGACTGATGTGCAAGTGAAATTTAAATATGATAGCATTATACATGATTCCTTCATGAGCATAGTTACACACATGGAATAAGATCTCTATCTTGTTGAAGAGACTTTTCTTACCATTAGTCTACAACAGGGGTAGTCAACCTTGGCTCTTTTATGACTCGTGGACTTCAACTCCCAGAATTCCTGAGCCAGCTGGCTCAGGAATTCTGGGAGTTGAAGTCCACGAGTCATAAAAGAGCCAAGGTTGACTACCCCTGGTCTACAAGCATCAGAGCATTCAGACCATCAGCTCAATGCCCATGTATGTCTGCTCTATACAGTGATTTCTCCCCATTGACTTGGTCCAGGCATGACTTGTCCTCTGAGAAGAAATAATCTGCAAGAATCCAGTACAGGAACAGGTAGCTGGACACAATATTAAATTTCTCCATGGAATCTTCCTAAAACTTACAGCTGACATTTTCAGAGTGTGTTTGCCTCTAAATATGTGTTCAAGGCTCAAAAAAGGGGAAAAAAAGAGGCACTCTGATCCTATTTTAGGTGTACTGCTGCACTCATGAGTGTGAAGATAGTTTTGGTACTTTGATTTACTCCAAGGCCAATACTCTCATATTTGGATTTACTGAATTGTATTTCCAAGTTGACTTCCACAGTGTTTTACATATATAGTCATCCCCCTAGTTTGTGTAATTTCCGTATACCATAGAATTTAGACACTCCAATCCTAACCTCAAGGATGTATAGAACAGTCTACCTGAAAAATTTAATGTGGGCTTTCAGTATTTATATTTTCTTTTTGCATACTTAATGGGCACTGTGCAGTGAGCACCCTCTTTCCCGCCTAGTAATATATTCAATAATAATAATGTAACCAATATACCGATTATTTTACTGTTTAAAATTAGGATTGTTATAAAAATGCATCATTACCCAGAAATGGATCAAACCTTCTTAGAAATTTTGATAATTCTGCATAAGATGGTTCTTCTGGAAGCTTTTTGTACAGAAGTTCGTGTTACCATCTCCTCTGCTGATATTTCCTAGCTATGTCTAAAGAGGGTGTGAATTATCTGCATTATACCAACAGATTTTTCTACTCAACAGGCTATATAAATGTCAAATTGAAAAAAGAATATTCTTATATTAAAATATTTCTAAGAGGAGATCATCCTTTTATACTGTAGCTGTAACTCTTTTAATCTAATGCATTATTAGTGTTTTGGGTTGCATCCTCTATTCAACAACTTTGTACTAACCAGAAAGTTAATCAACTATACCTACAAGGTTTTGGGGGTTTGTTTTTTTTTTCCTTTCTTTCTTTCTTTTTCTTTCTTCTTTCTTTCTTTCTTTCTTTCTCTTTCTTTTTTTCCCTTCCTTCCTTTCTTGGAGAGGGGTGTGGGAGTTTTTTCATCTGAAATTAACATTCTTCAAATAAAGATATTTCCAGGCTTTATCGATCAATTATATGTTCATTTGTGTTGATCAAGCTAAATGATTGACATATATTAATAAGAAGAAAAACACAATCAAATTGATATGGGGGGAAAAGCAAAGTTTTAAAGAAAACTATTCTGAATGAGATACTTTATTAGGCATGTTGATGCCTAAATAAAAGAGAACACTGAAACAATGAAAATTACAGTGAAGCTCAAATTTAATGTACCAACCAGAGGGCATGGATGCCCAATACCATGTCCATTAAATCACCAATTAATTATTCACAGCAACTAATCCACATAATTTTGCATAAAATGTAAGACAAATTATATAAATGGTCACAAATGATGAAAAATTGATATAACTTTGTCTCACTCAGACTATTTTGAATACAGTTGACTTGTCTGCTATTCTGGAGAATGTTAGGACCAAAATGTGGTCTATTGCATCTAAAATCCTCTAAATAGTGGTCCTTTAATTAAGTTTTCTCTGTAAAACATATCCACATTTTTAACAGTTTGATAATGTAGAAAATTGCACTCCACATTTTATTATAGGAAAAGTATCGTTTAAAGAATATTCTATTTGGCACATCTAATTTTTGCCTTTTATGCTCACATTTCCACATTATATAACACAAATACGTATAAATGTGATAACATATTTATTCTGAACTTGTCTAATGTTATTTTGCACGTGACTAAAGTAGCTCTCACAATATAAGCACTGAAAAAGTTCTAACTATATACATAAAACATTTCTGCATATCAAAGTCTATCACTTAGAAAATTATATTATGAGCTGTTTAAAATAAGTACTTTATGAGACTTTGCAAAACAATATCTCAATAACTCTAGACCAAAGCCAACATTGGTTATATGTAGTGATAATTGTACAAATATTTTCTATAACTGTTTAATTCATATGGAAAACAATAGCTTCTGTTACATTTGAGGGCTTTGTATATTTTGATAAAAACATGCTAACTTTGTAATTCTGCCTGTTCACTACAGTTTATAGAAAGCAATTTTAATATGTCAATGTTATGTTTATAATTCATTAATGGAATTTTATTAATCAGCATAATGGAGAAATATTACAACACAGAATTAAAGCAAATATTGTTAAATATAATGTTTGCTACATAATGGCATATGCATTTTGTTTTAACAGAACTATTAAAAACTGACATTCACAACCATTAAGACAATCAAGCTTTTTTCCCTTTACAAAATATTATTATGACTTCATCAAAATAGCCATAAATTCATTCATTATCTTCCTTCCTTCCTTCCTTCCTTCCTTCCTTCCTTCCTTCCTTCCTTCCTTCCTTCCTTTCCTTCCTTCCTTCCTTCCTTCCTTCCTTCCTTCCTTCCTTCCTTCCTTCCTTCCTTCCTAAATGATGATAATCTAAACAAAAAACAAAACAAACAGGAAGGCATGAAGACTGGTGGGAATCAAGGATTATAAAACTAAGTACTAAATATATTGGCATCTCTGGGAACTTACGTTAACAGACCATACTTTACAAACCACCATGATTGGATTTAATCAATACATGCCCAAACCCAACAGACTGCATTATGGCTTAGTTTAATGCCTCTGCCACGCTTGTGTACAGTATGTTTTATTCCGTGTGTGTGCAATGTGTACTGTATCATTACCAAACTAGGAACTCCTTGGGTTACAAGAAGTTACTCCTTGAAACCTTTCCGAGATCCTCCACTGCCATAATGTGGAATTCAATATGGAGAGCTTCTATTTTTAAAAAACTTTTTTAAATTATTATAGTTGAATATGGAAAGGTCCTCCTAACACAAGTGAATAAGAACATTCAGGAATGAAATTCTGCTTCCATGTCAGAGCTTCAGGAGTTCAGTTCTAGGATGCCAATTGCTAAAACAATTAGCAGCCTATTACTGTTTTGGAGTTATTGTCCTTGTTTCTTGAACTTTAGTTGCTCTCCCACCAGGACTATTTGCTTGTCTCACAACTCCTGCTCTACAAGTAGTATGGCAGGAACACTGCATACTAAAATAAGAAACAGGTTGGTTTACACATTGGTTAAGTTGTTCTTTTACATAATATAAATCAATTACTTTTTCTGAAACCAATTCTCTGATTCAAAATGAATTTTAAATGTCAGGAATGAAAGAAGTTTAGTCCAAGAAGTTTGAACAAGTTATAAATTTCTGAATCTTGATGTATATAAACCTTCTTCTGTGATCTAAAAATGAACAAAAATAACTCTTAGTTATACAACTCTTTTATACAACATTCATATGACCAGCCACTACGGTCTAGCTTCCCAAATTCAAGATTAGCATGTTAAAGTAGATGAGTTATTATGCTTCTAGAAACAGATGGATACTATACTGCATTAGTTTTTTAGCATAGGATATGAATGCTTAAGATGGCCTTTAAGTATTACTAATTAAAATAAATTCTAGGAAATAAATTCTAGTAACTAATACCAAAATTTGCTGGCATTACTTCAAAATAATTCACTTTCTTCGGTTATATCCTATTAAAAGTTTTTGCTGTGTTATTAATGTTCCTTCTCTACAGCGAGTTACATCCAAAAGTTACATATCCATCTGCACTCAGTGTTCTAAAACCTTCTGTTTTACATCCACCTACTCCTTCTCGCTAAAAATATATCTTCAAAAAAACCATCATTTTTTTAAAAAAACCACACATTATTAATTTGAAACTCATTCAAAGCAAGCAATACATATCTTGTAATTTTTAGCCTCTTTCTGGATCTCTGGTTGCAAATCAGTAAAGGATGAATGGAAATGACAGGGAGGCTAAGTTAGAAATTAAACAAGCAATATATATGCAGCACAACACACTAAGCTATGAGTTATGAAGCCAAAAGCGAATCACATTAGGGCTAAGTATGTTATATGTGAAAGTAGCCCTGTAGATTTTGCTGCTGATGTTTCTTTTCACTCCACATATATTTTAGGTGATATAACTACCTGTGAAATGATACTAAAAAAAAACTTAGTACAGTACAGGTCAGGCCTTACTGATATAATTTCCTTTTACCTAAAAAAGTTGTTTCTGTCATTTTAAAGGCATTTCTGTTGATTGTGATAGTACATTGCTGATAGAGAAAATCCCATTGAATATACTGAAAACTATTTTCTTTAGCTTTAGATTCCTTTATTACTTTGCCCTGAATAATTTAATCTGAAATATGATCTATACAAATGTAGAAAGCTGTTTTTCTATATTATTAAACATTGCTAGAAATCAAGCAGGACAGAGGAAGAAAAAAGATAATTATAGTGGCATTCACTGTTCTTTCTAGAAAGGAATTTTCATTCACAAGCCCATTTTAGTGCCAACAATTGTGCCAACTCTTACAATTAAAAATGGATTTTATTCAACCCAATAGCCACTGTGGTTTATAAGCTATACTTATTTACTTTTGCTATGTAAATTCAACTGTTTCTTCAATAAACCATGATTAAGCCAACCATGGCTTAGCAATTGAAAATACTTCACAGAAAAGATACACAGGCTATGATAAAAACCTGGTCAGACAGCTGGAGAAGTGCATACTATTCCATAACATAATTTGCATTGCATTATTACATTATATGAATACAAATAATGCTTCACTAAACCATGGTTATACAATTCAATAAATCAGTATTCAAATATTCATAATAAACTGGGTGGCACAATGTATGACTCTAGCCAGCAATTTCATATACTGGGGCTTTTTTTACAGCTTGAAAAATATGCAAATCTCCTAATGATACAGGGATATCTACTTACTAGGGTCAAAAGGCAAGATGGCAACCAATGGAGTATGATTAAAGTGATCCCTCATTTTGAACTTTTTGATCCCACCTTGCAGACACTTCTGCTTATGTACAGGAAACTACAGTTAGAACTCCCATTAAAAAGCAAAGTTACTAGTTTGAAGAATCTTTAATAACACTATGTCAATTTCCAGAGAGCAATTTTTGTATTTTACCTTCATGCCTATGAAGTACATTTACCATATCTGGACTGCAAATTTCAGCACGGCCACAAGATGGCCATAAAGAAATACCTAAACAGCTAATTCATAGCCATAATTGGTTGGTCCTAAGGATATTTCCAGTCCAGGCATGGTGGCTTATGGTAGCATCAAGATTTTCTTCATGATCAGTCCCTAACCTGTTCTTTCAGGTTTTCCAATGATATGCTCATTGCTAATGTTACTGAGTCATCCACCTTGCTGATGATGGTCCCAAATTTTCAAACTTAAAAAAAAATAATATTATTTCAATTATAACTAGATGCGACTCAAAAATCTTTGGTAACCAGAGAAATCAACAATGTTGCTGCAACTGTAATTACAACATTCAATTACAATCACATGATAAATTTAAATGCAAGTAAATAATAGTTAGATATTTGCTCATTTGATTTAAGATACCAGATATTTTAAGATACCAGATATTTTAAATTATTTCTTTCTTGAAAAACCCAGATAGCTGGGTCTTCACATTATGTATCCGAAGTAGGATAATCTGAGTCTGAGTGCAGGTAGTTAGTATGAGGTTTTTTATAGTCTAATCAAGAGTACTTTTCCTCACTGGCACCTAATCACAGCACAGACACGCCTGGCAAATAACTTTTTTGCTGTTTCCATGATGCTGCCTTCATCTCATTCCCAGTCCAGGAATGAGGTGGCTGACCTCATCTTTAGATGTACTAGTGTTAAAATAATATCTTCCCCCTTATTTCAGCATTATTTCACAGCAGTCTGCAGAAACATCTGCCCAGCTTTGTTACCCAGAATCAGCCAATTGGAATGTAAAGGAAATATAGGATAGAGTACAGCAAAGAGCCTGCATATGTCTCCGACTGGGGACAGGGAGTTTGGATTTAGGAGCTAGTTTGTCATAGTGCTTAAGGTAGCAGGCTGGATCCTGAGTTCTAATCCCAACTCAGGCATGAAACCAGCAGAATGACTATGGGCTAGTCACTCTCTCTCAACCTTAAAAAGCAGGCAATGGCAAACCACTTCTGAAGTCCTGCCAAGTAAACCCAGGGGCTTTTCCAGGCAGTCACCAGGAGTCAAGACTGACTCGAAGACACATACACAAAAGATTTGGCCTTAATTGAAAAAGGGAAACGACCCATCACTAATATAGAAATGCCCAATTAAGAGTCTCGTGCGTTTTTGTAGCCCTCCATCGTCATGGTATGCTCCAGCCTTTGCCGAAAGAGCCGTTCCCCCCTTCCAGTTTCTTCAAAACTGCTTCCATTTTCCAAATCAACATTGGTTTTGATATGCAAAAAGCACTGATTCTTTAGTGCGGTTTAGATCTGGAAATGACGCTGGGCCCGCATCAGATTGAGTAACGGCTGACAGTTCCGGCCGCCCTGACTTTCTCTTAGTCATGCCTAACGGAAAGATAAGGCAGCTGCCTTCTCCAAAGGGCAGAGGCCATGCATCAGCCCGATAACCCCTAAGTCCCTCCGCTCTCTTGCCGGGGAAAGGAAAGCCGAAAGAGTACGCATGCGCGAATGGCATCCGTGCCCTGCCGCCCACCTTCGAGCTTCCAACCAATGGCAGGAGAGAAGAGCCCGAGAGCGGTGGGCGTGGCTGTGGTGGTTAGGGCTTTGCCCGTCAGTACAGCGACGGGGTAGGTCTACGCGGTTTTGTACACAGTCGAGCGCGTCGGGGCGCGTGCGGAAGCCGTTTGGCCTTTCTCTTGGCCGCGCGGCGGGTGGCCCCCGGCTATGGCTGCTGGCGAGGGGGGCGACGAAGAGGTGCGAGTGCTACAGACTCTCCGTGGAAAGATTTGTGAGTCACTGGGAGGGGTCGACTATCCGGACCCGGTTCTCTCTGTGTGTGTGTATATGTACAAGTCCGTGGCCGGAAAGAGGGCGAGGGAAGTGCGTGTGAGGGCGGAGGTCGGAGACGAAGCGGCAGAGCCGGAAGGAAGTACCTGTGCCTTGTAGCGGCCTCACTGACTCATCCGCCCCAGCCCTCCAACCCCTGCTGCTTCCCCGGGTGTTTTGGGCGGGTGTGTGCGTTTGTGTAGGAGTAGATTAGTCCGCCTCGTGGCTAAAAGCTACAAGCAGTCGGGGTGGAAGTGCATCAGTAATGCAGTCATTGTGATTAATTTACTTGTTGGTGCCCCTTCTTGTTGTGATGGGTTGCTTTTACCCCTCTTATTGGAGGGGCTTTGTAAGCCACTCAGATGTCATGGATTAAAGCGGTCCAAACCTCTCGAAAATAAACGTAAATAATGAGTAGGAAGGTAGTGAGAGAAATCAATACACGCGTGCACCCCTATCAAAAAGAGAGAGGAGTGACTGAAGATTATTATTTATTATTATTATTATTATTTGGATTTTTATCCCGCCCTTCTCCTTACGGACTCAGGGCGGCTGACAGCCTGGTAAAACAAATACAGAGATAAAAATACCCACTTTAAAACCTAATTAAAATGAAATATTTGATATGGCCTGTGTCAGTTTAAAATTATTCTTAAAACCCCACTAAAAATTCCCCCTAGGCCAGTCCCGCTTGTTGGAATAGCCATGTCTTAAGGGCGCGGCGGAAGGAAGGGAGATCCGGGATCACCCGGATCTCTGAGGGCAGTTCGTTCCAGAGGGTGGGAGCTCCCACCGAGAAGGCCCTTCCCCTGGGGGTCGCCAGCCGGCACTGTCTGGCTGACGGCACCCTGAGGATACCCACTCTGTGGGAGCGTACCGGCCGATGGGAGGTAATCTGCGGCAGAAGGCGGTCTCGGAGATGAGAGTTGATGTAAAAAATAAAATAAAAGGGACCTTCAAAGGAAGATTTTGCACCGGGATAGATGATGTGTGGGTATAACATTATTTTTAAGATGGGAATGGGAGGGTTGTAATCCATTAGGATCTGAGAGCACCAGGGTGGTAAAAACTGGCATGTGAAGTAAATGGGGATATTTGTGTAAGTTTTGGAACCAAGTATTTGGTTAAAGGGATTTAGGAGTTAAGCAAGGCAGTCCACTTTTTCTCTTGCCTGGAGCTAACTCTCATTTCCTAACTATTACTTGAAAGCTTTTATTACATGTTACATTTGATAGATGTTTCCCAATTCTGACTTTTTATGTGGAAACTGTTCTGTGTAGTAACACTTAAATGTTTTAGGTGAAATTTAATTTGGCTATATAGCAAGGTAGACTTATAGGACAAATCCTTGACATTTCTCTTCATAATTAAGTTTCCAGAGGGTTAATTATGTTAGTCTATTGAACAACAAATTGTATTTTGACAGATTTAAAAATACCAATGGAGAATTTAAAAATAACATTTAAGGCTTAAAAGTAACATACCAAAGAGTACTTACTAACAAATCCTATATATAACACTCTAGGTTGTATCCTGTCAAAACAATATTTGACACCTATAGTCCACATATTAATGCCATTGCTATCACCTGATCTTTACAGTAGGTTACAAGTGGATGCTGCATTAGGAGAGAAATGAACGTGTGAATGTGATGTAAAACTAACTACAGTAGTCTTGCAAACCAACTGCATATCTAGTAGTATAACAAGATGTCCTCACATTAAATGCCAAAAGAAACTACTGATTTAAATTGAGCTTACCATTGATAAATCTTCATGTACGTATTTGGTAAATGGTGTGCATCTGATTGAATGGATGCAGCCATCACTACAATAGTGTTTAAATCATATTTTTATGTGTAAGAAACTTTATGTACACATATATACAAATGCAGCTTTAAGTCTTAAAAATTATTAGAACGGCTATAAATGAAAAACACCAGTGCTTATCAAAAATTGAAAATGACGTATATGACATATACAGTACAATTCCATGTTTAGCAACCCTTTGGGTTATTGATCAACATTGTCCTTAATAAATGAATTATCATAGTTCAAAATGTATCTTGTCCTGAATTTTTTGTAGAACGATTTTTACTTCCACACTCCACATTTATTTATACCTTGGAATAGAAATATCACTTTTCCTGTTTTCATTCCAATTCTTAGATTTTTTAATCTTTGAGGAAAATATGAAATAATGCAAATATTCTTTCTGTTTCTACTGGGAAAGATCTCTGAAGTGAATGAATGAGACCAATTAAAATGCCTTTGCAATGATTTAGTTCAAAGGAGTCAACTAATGATTTTTACCAATTCATAACAATGATTCTCTAACATCTTACCCTTACTTGAAATTTATTTTGACTGAAAAAAATTGAACTACATACCCATGTTTGATTGGTAGATAACAGTATATTTGTTTAGGAAATTCATTTGTATTTATTATAATTTTAGTATGTTAAATAGTTATAACTGCAACCATGACATTTTAATGAAAATGTTAGCATTTATAGATTTTAATTTCTAAAAAACTGATCTTTTGGGTAAAATTGAGACTTGTTTAACAAGAAACCTTTTTCAAGGGGGAAATGTTTTGTTACTTGCATGTGATTTATCAGGAAATTGTATAAATGACCACAGTTTGGGAGGAGGGAGAATGTTATATTTATTATTATTATTAAACATGATATAACAGTGGCTATCAAAATGGACAAAGTTAATAGGATGTTTTTGGCAAATATAACCAAGGTGCATCTTAACTTGAAGATAGAAAATGTAAAAATTATAGTCTGAGATATAGGGAATAAAAAAGTGATAATGTTATGAGTCAATTTTAGGGTAACCGGAACAAACAGGATGTAGTGGTTTTGTTGAAATGGGAGGAACTGAAGTACTTTCATGTAAGTCAAATGTAACCCGTTTCCTTTCTCACGCATTTGAAATAATTGCAAGAAAAATGTTTTCAATGAAAATGTATCTTGCAATATGGTCTTCTGTTCTAGATTTGATTTAAAACCATGCCTGCTTTCAAAATTTTTAGTATTTATAGTGTATATTACACTTTCTATATATATATATATATATATATTTGAAGGGAGAAATGAGATATGGTGCCTTCACTATCAAACATGCCTTTTTCTGGCCACAAAAGCCCAAGAAGAAGCATTTTTTTAAAAGCTAAATGTCTATGGAGATTCTCAATCATCCAGGTCATGGTTGTCCCAAAGATGCTTTTTCAAGATGTAACTAGACTTTCTTGTTTTTCTTTGAAGACATTTCACTTCTCATCCAAGAAGCTTCTTCATTTTTTAAAAGTATTTGCTTAATTTATCCTGCTTGTGCCATTTAATTTTTCTTTCCAAGTAGAATTCAGTTCGCTACAAATCCCTAGTATTTGTATAGTGTCTCTGTAATATTTTTAGATAATAAGATTATTGAGATAATAGGTTAAGTTTCTTAAATATCTCTAATAAACTAGAGTTACCTTATTTGTAGATGTCTTAATATGGGGCTGTACGGTTATCCTTAAAGTAGATTTCTAAGAGGTTTATTTCTCAAAATAGTTGAAGTATGAATGAAAATTAGGTGAGATTTGGATGAGATTGAAATATGATGTCTCATTAGGCTAAATTAAATGGAGTTCTGTGATGTGTCCACGTGATTGCATTTTTCTCAATCTTGTGACTTTCTTCTTTGTGTTTCCTAATAATAAAGGATGGGATTTATGGAAATTGTGTTTCACCACAAGAACTCCAAATTGTGGTAGAGTAATTTATAGCAGTAAATACAATAATAATGTTTATTGGCTACTTACTTCAGTATGCTGTTATTTTTTTAACATGATGAGAATAAAATAATCTCAACATTTCATTTGTAAATTGATTGAACCATGGTTTTCTTCTACATGGTATTAAAAATATTTTATTTTCTCAATAGGTCAAGCCAAAAACCTAGTGCCATATCTAGGACCAAATAAAATGAGAGACTGCTTTTGTACAATCAATTTGGATCAAGAAGAGGTATTTCGTACTCAAGTGGTAGAAAAATCTTTAAGGTGAGCTTCTAATCTTGACATCAGTCTTACTTACTGAAAGTAAATCTTAGTTAGAAAGCAAACCTTAGTTAAGTTAGAAAATTGAAGGGATATTTTATTCATTTATAATATTAATATACTGTTGATTGTCTAAATATATCACTTAGTGTAGTAGATGTTCATCAGAGCTCTAATTGTTATATTGTGTTTCTATTAATTGGAACTGAGCATACAGAAGGAATAGAAATGTGCAAATTTGTTGATCCAGGAACAGTCTTGGACAACTCAATTTCTTCCTCCATCATAAAGTCGTCAGAGTTGGCTTGGTAGATTCTAGAAGTAAATAATAGATTATAAGGGTTGGAAGGAAGCCTTGGGTTAGAACAATCTCATCTAGCTTCCTTAGTCCACATCTCTGGAAGATGTCTCTCGAGCCTCAATTTAATAATTCTAATAAAAGAGTTGACCACGTCCTAAGGCAAGCCTGTTTCACTGCTAAACATCTGTTAATGTAAATATTTTTTCTTGATGCCCAATTAAGGTCTGTTTCTTTGTAATTTAAAAACATAATTTCTTGTCTTGCCCACTAGTGCAGCACAGAACAAGGCTTCAGTTATTTGAAAACAGCTGTCCTATCTTCCTGCAGGTATCTCTACCTCATACTAAACATATTCAGCATCTTGTAACTTTTCTTCATAAGTTTTTTCTTTCATATTCTTTGAGATCTTGGTTGCTATTCTCTGGACATATTCCTGTTTGTCAATATCTGTGCTAAACTTTGGTGTCAGGTCTTTTAGATATTGTCTGACCAGTGCAAAATAGAAAACAAGTCATTTATCTTGTATAGTTCTCTTGACGCAGCCCTGGGTTGCATGTAACTCTGGACAAAAATAATTTCGCTTTCTGAGCACTTTTGGGGATATCTTACAGATTTTTGACTGCTAATCATGAAATTAACCTGTAATTTAACCTGTCATGTACCATTTTATAAAACTCTTCTGTTTTTACACAATGGCAATGTACACCCTTCAGTACATGTTGGCTATGCTGCACACATGAAAGAAGCATACAAAAACATGTAACTGTTGTTGAAATATATCCACTGCACTAAATCCAACTGGAATATCTACTAGAGCACCAAACTACATTCAACTAGTTGACAAACGTCTTGCAGCATACAAGACCATGAAGTACAATATGTCACTGAAGATTCATTTTCTTCGTTCACACCTGGATTTGAAAATCTAGGTGCAGTCAGTGACAAACATGGTGAAAGATTTCACTAGGATTTTGCCACAATGGAAAAACAGTATCAGGGCAACTGAAATCCATCAATGTTGGCTGACTACTTTTGGACACTACAGCAAGATGCATTGGACTCTGAGTACAAACAAAAATCAGCAAAACACTTTTGGCTCGGTTGAACTCATGCAGTGTATCAGAAACATTATGCAATTAAAAAAATAATCATTAAGAGTTAATTTCATATTTCTCAAGATTCCTAGGTACTACAGTAATTCTGAAATTATACTTGTGTTCAGTTGAAGGGGACTAACATAATCACTTCAGGAAATAAAACTTTTGAAAACTTTGTTGTCCAGTATAATCTTTTTCCTCGCACTGTTTGGCCAATTGAGACTAGTGACCCGGTAAGACACTCAGATTTTTTTTGCATATTCTGTTGCCCAGTATGATCTTTCCCACTCTGCACTCATGCATTTAATTTTTCCTATGTAAACAAAGGACATTATATTTGTCCTTCCTAATGTATGTCTAACTTTCAGACAGTTGTTCCAACTGTCAGATTTCCCTGAATTTTGACTGTCCTATACAATGTTTATTATCCCTCAGATCTTTGTGTCATATGTAAATTAGATCATATCTAACCACTCAACATTAAGAAAACCAAGATCATGGCATCCAGCCCTCTCAATTCCTGGCAAATAGATGGGGAAGAAATGGAGGTAGTGACAGATTTTATCTTCCTGGGCTCCAAGATCACCATAGATGGGGACTGCAGCCAAGAAATTAAAAGACGCTCCTGGGGAGGAAAGCTATGGCAAATCTAGACAGCATACTAAAAAGCAGAGACATCACCCAACAAAAGTACGTATAGTCAGGGCCATGGTTTTCCCAGTTGCAATGTATGGCTGTGAAAGTTGGACCATAAGAACGGCTGAGCGCCAAAGAATTGAGGCCTTTGAACTATGGTGCTGGAGAAGACTCCTGCAAGTTCCCTGGACTGCAAGGCAATCAAACCGGTCAGTCCTAGAGGAGGTCAACCCTGACTGCTCTTTAGAAGGCCAGATCCTGAACTTGAAACTCAAATACTTTGGCCACCTAATGAGAAGGAAGAATTCACTGGAGAAGAGCCTAATACTGGGAAAGATTGAGGGCAATAGAAGAAGGGGACGACAGAGAATGAGGTGGCTGGATGGAGTCACTGAAGCAGTAGGTGTGAGCTTAAATGGACTCCAGAAGATGGTAGAGGACAGGAAGGCCTGGAGAAACGTTGTCCATGGGGTCGCGATGGGTCGGTCATGACTTTGCAACTAACAACAACAACAAACCATTTATCAATCATATAAAAATACATTGTATAGTACAGGGCTTAGAATGGAACCCTGCTTTATTTATTCTTCGGTTTATATAGCCGTCTTATCTCACATAAAGTCAGTTTGGCACAGTAGTAAAGATGCTGATATAGGAATCAGGAAACTGAGTTCTAGGCTCTCTTAGGCATGAAAGCTGGCTGGGAGATAAATAAAATCACCAATTATGCCAATCATCTCTTTCCAGCTTGACAGAAAGCTGCACTTAATAGGTAGAGTTGTTCAACAAGCTTTGTATCCATCCTGAAGTAGCATAGTCCAAATTGTCTTCTCATCTTCTCTGCTGGGATTTCATAGGAGACTTTATCAAATGCTTTCTGAAGACAAGTTACACTATGTTCAACATACTCAATTAAACCAGTCAATTTATTAAAAAGGATAACTGGTTGATTTGGCATGACCAGTTCTTAATAATCCATGCTAGCTCCTGCCAAATGATACATTTGCTTAAAAACTGACTGCTGACCCATCTATAAATATACAACATTTCCCCTTCTCCAGTCCTTCAGCACCAATGTCCGTCCATGATTTCTCAAACATAAAAGAAAAGGATTTTGAGAAAACATCTGTAATGTGTTCCTTCAAGATTCTAAGAGGTAATTGATATAGGACTTAACTGATGACTAATTATCTTGGATTACTACTCCTTTCTTATGACAGTTGTTCTGCTTGCATCCATCTGAGGGGTTCTCCTATGGAATGAAGAAAAAAGCAAAGTAGAAAAATGTTGCCCTCTACCCATCCATGTTTCCATCCTATAATCTTCATACCCCCTTTTTCTTTCTCTTACTTCTGACATCATTTAAAAAGGACTCTTGTTCCTCAGAATTCTTTTGTTCCCTATCCTATCCCAGTATTATTTCTAAAGTTATTGGCTAATTGCTGGTATGTTTTCTTGGTGATTGTATCTACTCTCCTTTTCCTAAATAATCCTTTTGATTCTTATTTAGCTGAAAATTGTTCATGCTTCCACATTTTTTTCTGTGAATTTTTTTTCTTTTCATTGAAATAGAGAGTGTATATTCAGTACTATCAGGCCCAAGAACCAAGAACACGTGAAATTACTTCTGAGTAGTTTTCTTTATTGTTTTTAATAGACAGAATCTTGCAAACTAAAGTGACTATCTGCATAACTGTATATATGTTCTGTGAACTGCTAGGGAACAGCCATTTTAACTTCGTTCCTACAGACCAAACTTCAAGCTTTCCTCTGGAAAGCAGCCACTCCCTCCTGGGAATCCAGATTACAATCCCACCATAAGTATCTTGCTTTTGAGAAGTTGCCAACCCTCTTCTATTTCCTTTGACCCAAGGATTTCCCTCCAAGTTGACCTACCCAGCATTTTTTTTAACTTCTTGAAATTGGCTCTCCTAAAATCTAATGTGTATGCACAACCATCTCCAGTTTTTCTTTCTGCATGTTGGACTACTGCTAGCAAGGCAGGACTGGAACCAATTAGGCAAATTCAAATCCAAGCATTCCTGATAAGTGATTTTTCTTTTGGAAAAATTACAAAGCCATAATGACAAGAATTCCAGTGATGACAGTGTTTCAATTGCAAACTATTCATAGATTTCAGACTTTTTTTGTGTATTTTATTCTTTTGCATGCTCTACATAAAGCATTACTTAGTCCCAGTTAGTGTAGGGGAAAGCTCTGTTCTTTCTTTAAAGATTTGTGATCATGTCCCTCACTGACTATGAGATTTAACTCTCCCATTCTAGTATCTTAAACTCATGATGATATGGTCATTTCCTCGCAAGATTTCTAGTGCTTTTAGCTCTTCAATGAAAACCTCCTTATTGATTAGATCATATTGGAACAGTCAATGTTCTCATCTTTCTGGAAAATGAAACCATAAGCAAGACCACAGAGGATTTTTTGTGACTTTGCAATATTTGCTATGTTAGTTTTCCAATGGAAATGTGGTTATTTTAAGTCTCCATTATTAATGCATCTTTCCTCCCAGAAGGTTCTGAATTCTAGCTTGGAACATCATTATCCTTATCTTCTACCTGACCTGGCAATCAGTATCATGCCAGCAAGATAATATTTTTTGCTATTTATCCTTCTCTGTGATCTTAGGCAAGCTCTCTAAATTAGACCTTTGTGCTCAGATTCTTGGACTTTCTTCACATAAAATGTCACTTCTCCCATTTTTTTACTGGCCTATTCTGCACTCTGTTCATAAGGTTCATCTCAACAAGTTACAGTAGGGCCTACTAAATAATATTTGCTTTCCTGCATTAAGATTTATTTTTTTCTGTTTGTTCCTTATATTCTCCTGAGGAACAATCTACCTTACAAATCAAGGATAGCCACCATTCATAGGGCACTCTGGAAACAGGTAAAGACTTGATAGTAGACAGTTTCCAAAAAGTTTCTGGAGTTTTTGTATAGAGAATGGCATGTGCAAAAACAGTGAAAGGTTCTGAGGAGTTACTGTTTAATAAAATATCTATCCTAATGTTAATTAGGAACGCTATGCTGAAATTAGCAAAATAATTCCTTGAAAGGGACTTATGTTCAGAATTCTTTTATTAAAATTTGTAACTTACAAATATAAAGCAGACAAGGTGATACGTTACAAAATAATCAAGTAGTTTGCTGATTTGTTTTCACAGTCCATTTTTTGGAGAAGAGTTTTACTTTGAAATACCAAGAATATTCCAATATTTATCATTCTATATTTATGACAAAAATGTTCTACAGAGGGACCTGCGTATAGGTAAGGAATAACAATTGATATATTAATATTCATGGGTTGTTTTGTTATATTAAATGTGAAATTGTTGATCAAGGGCATGCATTCCATTCTTTAAAATATAAAATATTTGTTCTACATGATATGAAGCTCAGGTGATTTTCCATCCCAAATGACTAAATTAATGCATGCCATTTAAACTATCATCAGTCTGGCTAAATCGGATATTCTGGGATAACATGCAAAACCAGTCATTTTATTCTGAAATTTTGCCTTCATTCATCTTCAAACAGTGACAGTTACATTTACCACAGCTTCCTAATGTTAGAATGCAAAGTACTGGAAGATTGTATTTTAAAGATGTTGTTTAGGATATAGAGTATTCTGATGCAGATCTTTTCTAGAGCTCTGTTAGATAGACGTAATACTTGTTTTTTAGTTAATTTATCCACTCTATTTTTCTTTTAGGTAAAATAGCTATCAAAAAAGAAGATTTGAGCATATATTCTGGCAAGGAAACATGGTTTATACTTCAACCAGTTGATTCTAACTCAGAAGTTCAGGTAAAATTAAATAAACATGAAAACTAATGCTGATGTGTGTATAGTGGTGCTTACACATTTATAAATCCATTTGTATTTGCTATATTTCTGCATAAATATAACTTAAATGTGATCTGGTATTTGCACTTACAGTACAACTGTTGCAGCATCTCCATGGTCATGTGATCAAAATTCAAGTGGTTGGCAATCGGTCATATGATTGCTATTTGCAACCTTCCCAGCCAGCTTCTGACAACCAAAGTCAGTGGGGAAAGCCAGATTCCTTTAACAATTGTGTTTAACAACTTAACAAGCAATTTGCTTAACAACCATGCAAAAAAGATTGTAAAATTGAGTATGACTCACTTAACAGCCGCCTTACTTAACAATAGAAATTCTGGTCTCAATTGTCATAAGTCAAAGACTACCTGTATTAAAGATGCTTAACATCTGCAAGGCTGGAAATGCTCTAGCAAAAAGTTATTTATTGCTTGTTAAATTGTAAACAGGTCTTCTCTAGGGTGGGTACATCTGGAAGATAAAATGACTAAGAGGGCAGGGCTTGAATGTATATCCAGAGTCATTTTTACACAAGAAATATGAAGCAATTGTAGCTTTTCCAAGCTGGTATCATCTAGAACTGACCACTGATCGGGGATTATGGAAAATACAGTAAAATATCTTTAAGGATATGTTTCTGAAAGACTTAAGATACTGCATTATAAGATAGCTCTTGTTGCCTGAAATAATTCCAATCTTTACAAAACAATTACAGATAGTCCTCACTTAATGACTGCAGTTGGAATTGACATCTCCATCATTATATAATGTGATAGTTAAGTGAAATACGCATCTTAGAATGTCAGTTCTGCTGCAGTTGTTAAACAAATCATGTGCAGTCATTAGGCAAAACATTACATGATGACAGCACTGATTGTGCTTTTTGGAAGCCAGCTATGAAGGTCGCAAATGGTCATTATGTGCCCAAGGACACTACAACCATCATAGTGGGTACTGGTTGCAAAGTGCCTGAATTGTGTTCACATGACTGGGGAGACATTGGAACTGTTATAAGTTCAAGGACTGATCATACATCTACTTTTTCAGCACCATTATAACTCTGAATTTTCATTCCACGAGGCAGTGATTACATAAGGACTGCCTCTAATGTCAAATTATCAGTTTCTCAAAGCTTTTATAATAGAGATAATGGCACATACATGCTCATTAATTTTTAAAAAGCCTTATCAAAGACTTTTCTAATAAAGGAAGAAATGAGAAGAAAAACATTTATACAAGTAATTCCAAATACAAGCCATCTTTGAAATATTGATTCCCAGTGATTTCTTTATGAGAAGATAACAGTTTTCAGGTTAGAGTTAAAAATACAGGTAGTGCTCAATTTACAACCAGAACTGGAACCAGAATTTCTGATGTAAGTCATTGTCATAAGTCGAGTCATCATGTAACTGGGCCTGATTTTATGACCATGTTTACCATGGTTGGAAGTTGTATCACATAGCTGTTAAGTGTGATCCAGTTTAACTAATAGTGTTTTTTGCCATTTTTTGCAACAACAACAAAAAAAACAAGACAAAAAAAACCATAAATCATGATCACCTAACCATGGAACCATGGAAGTAGAAGCAAATGATCATAAATATGAGCCAGTTGTCAAGCACTTAGATTGCAATTATGTAACGATGGGGGTGGATGGGCGATGGTCATAAGTTCAAATTTAGATCATGACTGTCTTTTTGGAGGCTGTTAATTCAAACTATCATTAGGCAAGCAATCATAAGTTGAGGACTATCTGTACCGAGCGTATTTAGCACATCGACACTGGCTAAATTGAAGATTTTCATAAATCTATATCTTGAAATATTAAATAGATGCTGTAATTACTATAGGTTGGGTTATTGTTTTCGGGTTGCTCTGTACTATTCCATAATTGCTGTTAGTCTACATAGCAATATGAATCAGTTCAAGAGAAAAACAAGCCCTAGAAAGATGGATACAGGTAGTTCTCATTTGCAACCACAGTTTGGACTGGCAACTGTGCTTTTGTCTTACTCTAGCTATCCTTTGCTATAGAGACCTGAAAAAGTCCTAAACTTATATCATCACCATCATCAACAGTTGCTAAATAAGGTAGTCACTAAACAAGGACTACCTGAATTCATGATTCCTCCTTTGGGATTAATATTCTACCACATGTTCTCTTTGAGATTTTTTATTAATGTAGATCATGAGTTTCCATGTTATCAATTGTTTCTTAGAGGAAGTAGAAGCAATATCTATTGTTATTCTCTAATGCTTAATATTTGACATCTTGGTGGAATTTATTCAGTAAATAATAATTTAAATTTAACATTTTCACAGGAAGATGTTAATTGGTAAGATTTGGAGTTTTATTCTTTTTATGGAAAGGGCTTTCAGTTTTTCTGCTTTTTGTAATTTGATGATAACGTTTAGAAAACATTTTGAAAACATGTAGAATAGTATTGGCAACATAACAAGAAGTATAATTTGACAGACTTTCAACTCAATGTTTTTCCTCTTTACCAACAGGGAAAAGTACATCTTGAATTAAGACTAAATGAACTGATTACAGATAATGGATCTGTATGCCAGCAGCTAGTAGTACAGTAAGGATATTTATGAATTGTTTTAAAAAACTGTTTGCTTATGGAAACTAAATAGATAGATTAAAATGTTATTACTGAATCATTATAACTAAGTAGGAAAATTTCCAAGTGCAAAACATCCTTGAATTTTACTTTTTAATAATGACTGCATTCCTAAAAAAAACCTTATAATTCAATTTTCTTAACTTGGGAAAACATAATCTTTTTTTAAAAAGAATTTTGGTACCTAACATGAGATCTATCAGTTTTCATTTACTTTCTCCAACTGGAAATTTTGTGTTTGGAGGATGAGAGAGAGAAGATAACAGTTAAAGCAAGCCTTGTATACCCAAACTTTAAGGTCCCAGAGTTTGAGCAAGTTTGAGATTACCATCCCGTCAGTTACATGAAATTTTATAACTTCTAAAAATCTAATTGATTTGATCTTGCACTTATTTAATCTGATTTGTCTATACTAGAAAAGGGATGATGATATATCAGACAATCACAAAGTTAAATCCTGAAACTGGTTAAAATTATTTCTGGTTTGGGACTTCTATAGCTATTGATATTGTTAATGTGTACCACACCCTTGTGTACCACATAGTTTCCTTGCTAGCATAATCAATTATTAAATTGTAAGAGTCAGGCAGTCCCACTTGGGCCATTTGTCCAATTCTCTCCTCAATGCAGGAATCCCAATTAAAGCATCTTACACAAATGGCAGTTCAGTTTGCTTGAACATATCCTGGGAAAGGAGCCCATCTCTCTGAATAATTATTTGTACTGCTGAGCTCCAGTTACCACTAGAGAGTTCTTTCTAAATACAATTGGAATCTGCCTTCTGTAACATAAACCCATTATACTATTGCCTGGTTTCTGGAATGAGAGATGACAGGTCTTGACCTGTGTGATGTCTTTCAGGTTTTTGAAGAGTGTGAAAACATCCCACCTCCAATTTGTTCTCTCAAGATTAAATGCACATAGCTTCTAGAATGGAGCAGGTATAAGAAGCCAATTATTTAGAATTATTAGTAGATGTTGCTAAAAGTTACTGACAAGACAATGAAAACTGACAACATGGTTGCTGACCTGTGCAAAGAATATATGTTCAATGCCAGCTGACAGTTGAATTAGCACATCTTATTTTTCACTTATCTGTTAGATGTGACATAACTTTAAGTGAACTGCAACTGGATTAGTAATTTCCTTTTTCTTTTTTTAATTCTAGCTTGAAGGAATGTCATGGACTGCCTCTTATTAATGGGCAAAATTGTGACCCTTATGCCACAGTATCTGTTGTTGGTCCTTCAAGGTAACTAGTTAAAATATTTTGAAATTGCCAAGGTAACAACTGAAAATTTATGCCAAAATTAGGTTATCAGTTTTCAATTGATAAATGTTTCATTAAACAAAATGTACAGGGTTAATACATATTTTATTATATGATACATTATACTGAATTATAGCCCTGCATGTTGTGGATATTCCATATAAGACAATATATAGGCATGTTTTAAAAAGTGCCAGTATGCATGTTATACATGAAAATAATCTGAATTAAGTTTCAGGTCCTTAATGTAATGCTATGGGATAATATTGTGCCTGTAGACTCTCCTTGGCTTTTTGTAGGCACCGTGCCTCATCTAATACTTTTTTTTTTTTTTTGGTCCACCATGTCACTGTAAAGCCAGTGGATAAAATATGGTCCTAAAATTGGGAATTTTGAGTTCAACTCTGCTTTTGGGTATGGAAGCTGACATGATGTCTTTGGACAACTCACTGCTCTTACCCCAATTTACATACCGGATTTCTGTTGGGGAAAAAATGGATATTTACACTGTTTGATCTTCTGGAAGAACTGTGGGATATAGATCTTATAAAAGCACACATTTGTTGCATCCCCATGACTGCAGTATTATCCACAACTTTCATATGGAATTCAGAATATGCAATTGGCTAAACTAGAAAACCATGTATTAAAGAATGCTATTCTCTACAATATTTTTATTCATTATGATCACTTTGTTGCTCCTCCCAAAAATTCTGGTGTGTGCTACTTTCTCTTTATTCAGTACTGCATGTAAAGATTGCCTCCCTTCTCACATTGATATTTTAGGTTATGAGAAGACTAGTCTGCATGGCTCAGACATTGATTCCAAGCATGACGAAAATATCTTAAAATGTCTCCCTATATGAAATCATATGAATATATGAAAGCAATAGTAGATAAGAGCTTATAAAATGCTAATGTAAACTTAAAAAAATTGAATTATGTAATCCATCCTTAATTTGTTTCAGACTGCAATAGATAAATAACATTTCATTTATACTTAGTCTAATTCTAAATCTTCCTTGAAATTTTCTGCTTTGTTTTTTTTCCTAATAAGTATTTCACATAATCAAATTTAATAGGTTTTTAAATCCCAAGTGCCCAAAATCTTCCAATGTACTGAATGCAAACTGTATGTGTAGTATGTATATATATATATATTCAGACACAAATATTAACCTAATTACACCATATTTTTAAAAATTTTAATGGGGCTATACAATTTCAAGGAGTCAATGATGTACTTGAATAATTTTTAAAAAGTCCTTTAATTTTAAACTAAAAATGCTTTATCATGTAGATTAATCCTGTTAATTACAATAATATATTTTAAGACCTATATGATAAAGCTGTATTATGTTGGAACAGGAATGATCAAAAGAAGACAAAGGTAAAGAAGAAAACAAGCAATCCACAATTTAATGAAACTTTTTATTTTGAGGTAACTAATTTCTTATCTTATGTTGATATTATGTCCATCAATTTATTCTGTACTGCTTTTGGAGCAAAAAAGGAAGCTCAGATTTCAAAATGACTAGGTCTATAATATGCCTTCTCCTCCTCTAGATTTTTATATGTCTTACCTAGCACCAAAAGTTGTTTCAGTACTTAACATAGCAGTGAATGGGGAAATATGTATACACATTGGATTCTAGCATTTTATTTCAGGATGTTTCAATAATGTTGTTGACCCAGCATTATTAATAGAAAAGTATGAGTGTTGATTATTACTGTTGACATGATAGCTATAAAAACATAAGTACCAGCCTTTTTCTTCTTTTAACTCCCTTCACTTGAACATGAAAGTTTTAGAATATTTTAAAAAGGGTTGAAAAAGGTTTATGAGAGATTATTTTTAAAATAACAATAGGATAAAGGTGCTTATATATTAAAACTGCAAGTCAGTCATTAGATAGCATTTTTTGTGGCAACTTCTGTGTTTTCGGTTTTAAAAGTTATTATGTTCTTCCTGGAAGAATGCTAGCTGTGGTTCTTTTCACTAGCATCCGAACCTCAAACTTAATCCAAGACTTTGTACTGGTTCAAAATAAGAATATAAAAGCTGTAGGAATTTTTTTAAAAAATCAAGGGTTAATTAACTAAATTTTCCATGACATCAAAATATGGTTAAAGCCTTGGGCTTTAAACTAAGATTAAGCATAGTTTTGTTATGTTTTATATAGCTTATTAAAATGCTTTTTAGAGTTGCCCAACTTACAGCAGTGACTGTTATCATTGATATATTGCAAACATTTACTGTAACAGTCTTTCTTACATTTCAAGATATATGTCTTTTTTACTTAAAAATAGATCCATTTTCTAGTAACAAACAATGTTAGAAAGGCATAGCTATTAGACTGAATTAAATGGGTACTGCTAAAAGAGAAACAAATTACTTTGTAAGTTTTATTTTCAGGTAACTAGATCCAGTAGTTACACAAAGAAGTCACAGTTTCAAGTAGAAGAAGAAGACATTGAGAAGCTAGAAGTCAGGTATATTCTTCAACATATTAATTCAGATATTGCAATCAAAGCAGACAATGCTTCTTACAATAAAAATAAAAAGTTGCTCTGTAATTGCTGAAGATGATTGAGGTAATTATTAAGTTTGGGGTGAGATTCAGTTTAAAACTGGCCTTGAAAAAACATGCCTTCAAAAACAGTAGTTGAAGCATATTCAGAAAAGCAATTTATTAAGTCAAAGCATGTTACTTCCAGTATTTATTCTAATTGTGTATAATAACCATCTGTGGCTAAGGAGAAGTAAACCATATTATATTTAGTACTATTGATTTTCAAGTACACCTAGATAACAGTTTAGACATTTTACACATTTCTTGCTATGAGACAAAAACATTTTTATTTGGGGAAATATACAGTGATGGAGTGGACAAATGCACATATACATCTCTCAATGCAATAAATTTTGAGAAGGAATTATAATTGGAATATTTTGAAGAAAATCATATACTATTTCTTAATCCGACTTCAACTAAAGCTTTTCTGTAGGGTTAATTAGAACATCTGAATTGATATCACAGTTGGTATAACATTTAGGGAGGCAATAGAACCTGCTACAGCTTCAGAAATCTCACAACCCAACAAATTTTTTTCTCTTCTTAATATATGTGCTGTTTAACAGAAATATTGGTGAGGTAAGACTCAGGAACCCACATACAGTGTGTGTATATGCTTTTAAGTTATGAATACTTGAACTGTCTTGGCTAAAAAGTAATTTTAAAGAATACATAATGCATGTGTCATTGAAGTGCTACAATTTAACCAGAATAAAGACTAAATGGGATTAATAAAAATAAAATAAGAATAGTAAATGCCTGAGAAGAAAATATACTTTTTTTAATGCCTCGGCACCATTGCTTTTTTCTTACTGATAAAGTTTCAGTTTTAACTACTAGGCAGATTTTCACAGTTGCTTTCTATAGAACTAAGATACACTTTTCTTCTTAACTCAGACAGACTATTAAATGAGAAATAATAACCTTACTTTTATGCATGTGGAGTTGGTGTGCTGCTCTGTGTGATCATTTAAAATCATATGACCACTTAAAAAATAGATATGTTATGATAGCTAACTAATCAGTTATTAAAACTAAGATTTAACTTTCAGGATTGACTTATGGAACAATGGCAACTTGGTGCAAGACCTTTTCCTAGGAGAAATTAAGATTCCTGTCAAAACATTAGGAAGTGATATTTTCCCAGCATGGTAAGGAATTGAGCGCAAAGTTGTCATATTGCTAAAATGAAGAATTGATTTAACATAATTAAACTAGCATAGCTTCTTCTACCTTCAATATCTTTACTGACTAGTCCAAGTGAATTAATATTTCCTACATTTTCATTGAAACCAACAAAAAGGTTTTAAGTTACAAAACAAACAGTTAATCTTAACTGCATTCAAAGACAGGAAAAGTCAGATTGTGATTAATAGTTTAGAACTCTGTTCAAAAGCCATGTCGACATAGTGTAAATCCAACAATGTGTACCAGGTAGCTCTAGTTTCCAGTATTATTTAAAGGTTTAGTAAAATTGCATATAAAACAGCCCTGGTCTCTAATAGTGTTATTAAATCAAGCTACTAACCTTTGCCAACTTGTAAAGTAGCTGTCTTTTCAGTATTTTTTTAATATGTTTCATTTCCTGAAAAAATAGATACCAAAAACATAGAAAGGGCTTTTCAAATTTTTTCAGGCCGTAGATCTGTAGTTTGTTTTTAAAAAAAACATTTTCGAGCTCATGATTAAGAATCAAAACTCTAATAATAGAAAATTGACTGCATTTTGAATAAGTATGGGGTTGGTTTTGGTCTCTCACAGAAACCTGTTAAGTTCTTGAAGAATCTTAGGATTCTGTGGAACACAGTTTGAAAAACACTGCTATATTGAACACAAAAATCAATCTATTTTTTTAAACAAATCATTAAAACTTTGTCCAAGAAATAATAGTTTATTGCATTAATAAAGACTCAATCTCTAAAAAAAAGTATACATCTATAATCATTGCAGTGAAATATAATAACAGTATGAGCAACTGTACTACAGGTTAGGCAGAGTTCCAGATTGGTACAATGTATATTTTATACAATGTATAAAAATACTGGGTTTCCTCCCTAATGGCATTTGAGGACAATTACCATCAAGATTGTCGAGATTTTAGGAGGGGATAGAGAATGTCTTTGAAGGATGGGGAAGAACCATTACCATGCAACAGTCAGATAAGTGGATTTGAACCTGGACCAAGAAACTAACTTGAGAAAACATCTCAGATAAGCCCCTGCCTAGTTCACACAAACAGAAAGGGGGAAAGCACATTCAGACAAGCTGTTACAACAAACGTTGCATTGACCTATATGACATTGGATTCTTAGTCTGGATAGGATTCTCTACCACTTCAAATAAGTCGTGCTCTGAAAGCCATCTTAGTACACAATTGATCTTTACAGTTAATAGGCCTCTTTTAATGACTCGTGGCATGACATATTTGAATCGAGAATTTTGCTTTAGAGGAATTTTGTTCCTCTAATGGAACAAGTTGCTGGAATTTAGACAAGCTTTTTATTATATAAAAAGGCATTGACACATGCCTTTTATTGTTTACAAATCTGGTTCTTGCAATTTTATATTTCATGAATGTATAATGTTTTAATTATTTAATAGAATTTTTGTATGCTATCCGTAACCATGAAGTGAGAAGACAGTATAAGCATTTTCTAAATATATGAATAAGTACAAATTAGCAAATCTACAAAAGGAAAGAAGGGAAGGGAGAAAGATCCTATTGCTTTTTCATTCTCTGTTTATTCTTACTTAATTGCTTAAAAGTACAATTTGCTCAGCCTGTCATTTAGAGAATATCTTAAGCCTTATAATTTCTTATTTTTAAGGTACCTCCTACAACCAAAAGATAATGGAAATAAATCTGCTAAAAGTGAAGATCATGGATCCCTTAGACTGAATATAAATTATGCTGAAGATTATGTACTTCCATCTGAGTATTATGGGTCTCTTAGAGACTTGCTTCTGAAATCACCTGAAGTAGAGGTATTTTTCATTTTTCAAGTGTCACTATCCCACTCCTTCTGTGCTGGATTTATTGGGAAGTGGTACAAGTTCTCCTTTCAAATGGAGATATTTTAGCTTAGATTTCTGTTCAGAATTCAAAAAGCAATATGTATAATACTGTACAGCCCCTAAAATGGTTAAGTTTTAAAAAACAACTTCTTATATTCTATGAAAAGCTAGAATTTTAGATGCTATTTGATATGGTTGTCAACAGCTTACTATTCAGAAAACAAACATTTGAACTATACAAAAGGTCTCTACAAAAAGTGTGCTTAAAAAATTTTCCTCATAAAGAATTTTAAAAGCTGTTTGTTTTCATCTGTTCAATATTGAGAGGTATGCATATTGTACAGATTTGATTCAATACATCCTTTTTTTAGACAAGAATAAATATTCTGTCACGTAGCTAACTTAACTTCTATTCCAGCAAAAATCTGGTAGCATACATATGATACTGATAACAGAACCATCTCAGTTCTTGGTCCGGGTTTTAGACTGTATTTGTACATAGAATTGTCCTGAATTTGGCACAGAATTATATCTCATTTATTCAAAAGAAGGATCTTTATTTAACTTGCTTTTTTTATTTGCCCCAAATTTACATTATTCATACTTCCTCTTATCCCTTTTGATGTACATATTACAAAATTCAATAATGTAATTCAATATGGAATTGAATGTGTAATAAATATGTGTGAAGTCTTCTTCAGACCTCTTTTCTGTCTAAGAAATTAGTGTTTTGTGGGAGCCACACTCATAACAACTATTATGAGAGTGCATTCTGTATAACAGGGCCAGCAAATGCTTTGATTTAAATCCTTGTTATAGTCAAAGATACTATCATAAAGTTAAAAATATTGCCATAATTTAGTGCAGAGCTCCCCAACCTTTTGGGCACTAGGGACCGGTTATAGGGAGAGAGCTTTTTCCGCGGGCCACAAAACCAGTGGTTTTGTGTGCCACCTGTATCCCACGGATGGGGCTTTCCTTGTTTGTGCAGACCGGTTGCTGGCATGCTGCAGACCGGTACTGGTCCATGGACCAGGGGTTGGGGACTCCTGATTTAGTGGACTAAATTTGGATCCTATTTGGGTTAGCTTAAAAGTGGAAAAAGATCCTCTAAAAGGCAAGCTGTTATCTACTCTTCACTTTCAAATTTCCCTAAATCCAAATCTCTTTTTGACATCTTTTGAAATAAGAGTTTAAAGGGCAACGTGGATTTCTGAGAGATAAACCATTTCAGTTTGTACCCTTACCCTTCTTCCCAGGCCTAATTTGCTGATTAATTTTGAGAACAATCTATTTGGTTGCTGGGAGTGCTCTGTCAGTTTTGGATAGCCTACAGACACAAAGAACTGATTTTGTTTTTATTGAAAGTTTCTTTTGCAGTTGGATGCTCCATCTGATATTAAAAACTTAAATATGAACATAAACAGTAATTTTGAGATTTTTTTTCTATTATGTCAAATGAAAGGCAAAAAGAATTTCTGTAAGGTTTTCTTCCAATCAGCTGGCAAAAAATTAATTGTAATTCTTGAAACTGGAAGAAAATTATTTTACATAAGCTTTTTTTAAACTTAGGTTAAGATTTACTTGAAAAATTACTATTACTCTTATTAACTTTTCCCTGTATATTTGAATGTGAGGAATTATGTACATTCATCCCATTTCCCCCTTTTTATAGCCAATTTCTGCATCAGCTGCTTACATCTTGGCTGAAGTGTGTCGAGATAAATATGATGGTATTTTGCCACTTGTAAGGTTGTTGCTGCACCATCATAGATTAGTGCAGTTTGTTACTGCAGTGGCAGAATTAGAACTGAAGGAAACCCAGTAAGTGCTTGACTTTCTTCCATTCTCTCCAACAGTTGTCTATGACAAAGATAAATGAGTAAACTTATCATATACATTTTATATTAAATTATTTTTCTCAGTAAACATTACAATTTTTTTATTCTTAGGACTAAGTGATTCAGAATCTTCTGAAATGAATATGTAATAGTTGTTTGATTTTGTTAGAAAATAGATAATTTTCTGTTTCTTGGCATACACTATTTTTAAGTTCTGGAGAAATCTTGTAATCCTGGAGAAAAAGATATTGGGTCTTCCACAGCTTATCTTTCTTACATTTATTAAAGAATGAGCCCTTGCAATTATGCTATGCTCCCAACGTTTCATCAATGAAACATTGCATTAAAGATTAGTGTGATTCAGTCCAAGATTTCTTCCTCCCTCCTGGGAGAAGACCAGTTGAGCATGAATTGGTCTTAGTGGTTTTAAAATGTGCATATTCTCTAATTTTTCTAGAATTTATTAATGATTTGATTTAAAAAAAAACAGAAATGGCATAACAATATCAAGATTATACAGAACCAAAGAAAGATGGAAGAATTTATTCTGCATAATGGTGTCATATTTCTGAAAAGAAATTGAAATCCTTACATGCATTTTTGAAGATAGTGCCTATTCTGATTGGAAAGAGGTGTCTAGAATTAAATTATGCCATAATAAATGTATAATATTGATTAAACATACTAATTTGAATTTGGCTACTATTAGGGCAACCTAGAAGACATTGGTATCTATTGATAATATGTATCCAGATATATATTCATAATATTAGAGATATTTTAAAATGTTGCATTGTTGTAGACTATATTAGCTAGAAACTCTGCAGCAGAGAACTTTGGTCATCTTATATCTGCATGCATGTTTGTGGATATGTGTGTATGTATATAGTTCTGAATTTCTAATTATTTCTATTGTATTACAGAGAAGTAAATACAATCTTCAGAGGAAACTCTTTAACTACTCGGTGTGTAGATGAGATGATGAAAATAGTAGGAAAGCACTACTTGAAAGTTACTTTAAAACCAATTTTAGATGAGGTATGATAAATGTATGTATTGAAATGCTACATATTGGGAATAATGGAAAAATCCCTACTACCTAAAATTTCATACTACTACTAAAGGTATCAGTTGTTTTCAGCTTTGTGCAAGGTCTAAAATGTCTGTATTGCTTTCTTGAGACTGGATGAACTATTCCAGTTCTTATCGTGCTAGACTGCAAGACAAATAATATGCTACATAAGAATTAAATCGCTTTGCAAAATATTGTTGCAAATTCTTTAATTCATTTGTTTAATATATTCACCTTATATTCATATATTGTGTGAACAGTTTACGAAAGGCTGAGCATCTCATATTAGACTTGAGTGTGCAATATTTTTACATCCACCATCATCTTCCCTTCCCTTTTAGCTTACATCAGCTTGGCTAGATGTAAATTTGAAATTGAATTTTCAGTACGCAAATAGAAAGAATATTTATTCTTGCTACTGTTGTTTCAGTGGTCAGAATTCCAAGGTGTAGTAGGAATTAGATTTCAAAACTTTAAAAAAAATGACAATGAAAAACATCCTAGGATATAGCACTATGCACAAACATAACATTTTTGGAAACTACTAAATCCATTAGTCTGTGCATATCACAGTAAAAATAGAAAAGAATTATGCAATGTTTATTATGGGCTTGGAGTATTGGCAGGGAAGGGATATAATTTTATTCCATACTGTATTGATTTTATGTAAAGATTGAAGTAAAAAGGCAGCTCTGCAGCCCATATATTCTTAGTTCACATTTCTCTGACTCCTGGTTGTCACAAAAAGGGTTATCGGTTTCATTGTAGCAGCTACAATTGTATATCATTTATTGTATATGTTGCTTCATCTTCCCAGAACAGCTCAGGCTCATTCAACAAAGATTGCTGGCACTATTGTGACTGCATTCTGACTTTTCCTGCTGGATATCATCTAGCATTATTAGCTGCAAACCGGAGCATGTCAGATATCACTTTAACAAGAAAGTATATAATATGCTAATTACCCATATGGGCGATGCATAAGTTAAAAGACAGCAGTTTTGTTCCTGTAACTGGTCCTTCAAATGGTCAACTTTGCATTTACTGCATAAGTAAACTTTTCCACACAAATTGTTCTACAACATTTTCAAGAGACTGAAATAAAGGAGTAGTTTTCTTGTTTTGCAAAAAAACACATGTACTTTGAAGAATCATTGTTATAGGTTAGCAATATATTTTTAACATCTGATCCAAGAGAGAACATAGTTATTGTGTTATTAATTGTCATTTTATAATAGATAAAGGTTTCATTCTTTTAACTTAAAAACAAATCTCACTGAACTCACTTCTGATTAGACAAGTATATAATTGTGCTGCAAACTTTAATCTTGTTTCAGATATGTGAGAATCCTAAACCTTGTGAAATTGATCCCCTGAAACTGAAAGAAGCAGATAATGCGGAAATGCACAAGGTATGCTAAAATGTTGTGTGGGGATTTTTTTAAATTTATATTTATGGAACTTGTAACAAAAAACATTTTCTGGAATATAAAAGTCCACAATAATTTTAGTAACAAAGTATATTAAGAATCTGAACACTTTTCTTTATCTTATGATTTTGCCTACTGCATTTCTGGTCTTCAGTTTCATTTTGTCAACCTCACTGTAATTACTGGGTATAATTAAAAACAACTATAAAACAAAATACAATATTTGATAAATACTTGACACAATTTAAATCAAACCTTATCATTGAAATCTGCTATTGTTTATTCTACTATTAAGAAAATGGAAATGTTAACTATATTATTGATAGTCCGATTACAGGACAGCGTGTACCTGAAAAGTACTATGGGCATTAATATTAACTACATAGTAAGCTTCTCTGTGTTTGATACCACCGACTGAATTTATAATATAATGCTGTGTTTGATTCACGTTATCAGTACTGAGAATAAAAAAATGGATTTGGATGTAATCAAGTGACTTTCATTGGTCTATATATAAACATCCAGAATAAATATAATTATAAAAGCCCAACAAAAACAAGGAATGCTGACATAAATTAATAAAAATAGTAATAGTTATTTTTTATAGCATACATTAAATCAGAAGAATGCCTTCCAAAATAATAGGTTGTCCATAATTTTCTGAAAGTGGTGAGCCTAATCTCAAAGGAGATGCCATTCCAAAACAATGTGCCACCAACAAAAACCAGCATCTAATAGCTTTGGCCCCCTTTGCTTCCCAGGAGTGCAGAACCACTACCAGTTATTACCTGCAAGATCTAATAAGTGAGGTCCATTTTATTTGGAGCAAACCATCCCGCAAGCAGTAAGGTGTCAACTCATGCAGGCTTTATAGTCCACACTAGTACCTTAAATTGTATCTTAAAAACCTATCGGCAGCCAATGCAAGGCCCATGAAATTGGAGCATCAGGGTGCATCACCAAGAACTGGTGTATATGTAGGCCACCACATTTTGGACCAGTGCAACTTCTGACTAGTCTACAAGGGCAGCCTTATGTGACATTCACCGCAATAATCCATACACATGCAAATGAAGGCATGAGTTATCATACCAGGTTTTTCTACACGCGGTCAAGTTGCTGTTGGTACACCAGCCACAGGTGGACAATAGTCCCTAATCATGTTCTAGAAAGATCTGTGGGTTTAGAAGCCCTCTACCTCATTGCAAACCTGCCTTGTGGGTAATGCCTGCCTATACTAGTGTCATCAGAGACTCTTTTGTACAAACAGTAACTCTTATCTTACTTGGGCTCAGCTTCACTGTTTTCTCCAGTTCAGATATTTAATAGTCTTCAGGAACCAAGAGAGAATATCAGCAGCAAATTCCCTATAGCTCAAGATGGCAATGTAAAATTGAGTGTCATCAGCATATTCATAATACAACTAGGCCATTAGATGACCTCATTACTGACTTCATATAAATGTTGAAAAGCAAGGCAGAGAGGAACAACTCCTGTGACACTTCACATATCACAGGCTATCAGGCCAAGCTCCTGCTGCCTCTGACTAGAACTGACAACTGAGCAAGGAGTGCAACTATTGCAAAACAATGCCTCCAGTTCTCAACCCCCATAGGCAATCCAGTAAGATTCCATGGTTGGTAGTACCAAAAGCCAATTGAAGGTCCAAGGTAACCAGGAAAAATGAACTATCCCTCCTTAGAGTCCCAAATCAGGTCATCCAATAGGAGCATCAATGTCCAGGCCTGAATCCTAACTGAAAAGGGTCCAGATACTCTGTTTCATCTAGGGCTCTGTGAAGCTGCCACCACTGTCTCAACAACAGTGAGGAAATGCTAGAAACCAGATGGTAGTTGGCCAAGACCCATGCTTCCAGGGCCAGCCTTTTCATAAGGGAGCACAGCACAGTATTTGGCAAGACTTCAAGGAATTCCCTCCCTACAAAGAGCAGTTGACAATTTTCCAGATTCAGGTGGCAGACAACAGCATAGATTGACTTAACTTCCTTCAAGGTCACAAACCAGGAGGAATCCCAGATAGCATCACAGAACCTTGCCCAGTCACCACCAAGGACAGAGTGACATTAATAAAGTGACTGTGTGTGGAGAAAAAAGAGAAAGAATTTTTGGAGGACCTTGTTAGACTATTGTATGTATTTTATTTTTTTTTAAAAAGTGCTACTGAATGCTAGGATGGAAACTATGCATACAAATTTGTTGAAGAGATTTTTCTCACTGATAAGATGAACTTGGTAAACACTTAAAAATGATTAACTTTCTGAAATTATTTGTCTACACAGGAAAATCTTCGTTATTATGTTGACAAAGTTTTCAGTACAATTGTACAATCAAGTATAAGTTGCCCGACATTAATGTGTGATGTGTTGTGTTCTCTGAGGCGCTTGGCTGCTGAAAGGTTTCCTAGTAAGTGTATCAATGTCTCAAAATGACAATTTGATTTATGGCTTGAATAAAGGGTCTACATCCACAAGAATGTTACCAAAAAGTCAGTTCTATAGCATTTATAAAAAGAGGGAAATACAGCAGTCATAGACACTGCCTGTCTTCTGTTGATATACTGCTGTTAACAGCAAGCAACCATACTTATGCTCCACACTAATATTGTACTGAAGGGATAGGTAGTAGTGGCTTTGGACTACAACTACTATAATATTCTATCACTGGATATGCAAACTGAGGCTAAACTAAAATTTCTTACTAAGTTGCCTCTTCCTGCTATATTACAGAAAAATAATTTACATTTCCAGTCATAAAAATATATATTTAATAGGTGACTATGGCATGCACCAACCTGGGGTGCCTAAATTCATCGCTACCTTTATTTCTAAAGTAAGAGGAAACAGGCAGGAAACTGATTGCACTACAGACTTTTGTTAGTATTAACAGTGGTTTATGGAAACATATTGAATTTAAAAATGTATCTTTGGAAGTATGTTCCTTTCTTTGTTAAGATTAATCATAACAATAGAGCCTACTGTTAAATAAATACAGAAGTGGAAACTTGCAGTTTCATTCACACCTGTGACAGAGAAGAGGAAGGGGCACAATCCTTAGTTTGCTATAACTAGCAGGTAACATCAAATAAACTGTAACAACTGTGATACATGCCCAATAACACGGGGCCATGCATCTTTCATCATAACATCACTTTCATTTCACACTACTTGCTACTTTTCTATTTTGCAGAAGAATCGTAACCATTTTTTTCTACTGACACCCTACTAAGGTTTTTCACTATCTTATTTCACCCATTTCCTGCTAAGTTATACATTTCACATTTCATGGTTTTTCTCTGCAGATGACCCTCATGTACAGTATTCTGCAGTGAGCAGCTTTGTGTTCCTTCGTTTCTTTGCTGTAGCTGTAGTATCGCCTCATACTTTCCATTTACGGCCTCATCATCCAGTAAGTTTTGATAATGTTATGTTCATGCACTTGGTGAGCTTAGGAGGATGTACGCTGAGGGAGCTTGGAGACCACTTAACATATTTTAAAAAAACTCGCTGATCAGTTATCAAACAGTAAAGCCTTCTTGGTCATTTTCATATGTTGAAAGTACTTGACATTAGAAACTAGTATATGACTAAAATCAAATTAAACATTTGACTAGTTGGAATCTAATGACTTAACATTTGGGGATACATTTCCTATTTTCAGTAAAATTAAGAAAAACTAAAAATATATTTATGCTGGTTTATAATTGTAATAAATTTGAAAACACATAGTGAAGAGCTAGTTTGGTGTAGTTATTAAGGCACCAGACTAGAAACCAGGAAATTATGACTTCTGATTTAGGCATGAAGCCAGGTGGATAATCTTGAGCCAGTCATTCTCACAGTCATAGGAAGAAGGCAACGGCAAATATCCAAATCTTGCCAAGAGATCTGCACAAGAGGTCTAGTGCAGGTGGCTGCCCGGCGTGAACATTAACTTTAAAAAAAACACACACACAAAGCAATCATACTCCATTATGTTTTTTAGTTGATTTAACTTTGACTGTACTGCTCAAAAACTTTTGATGAAGTCTCTGTACAGATAGTCCTCATTTAGTACATTTCATGAAGGAGTCATATTATTCTAAGCAAAAATCTTGTTAAAGCTTCCACAGGAAATACAATGGAGAGAGAATTAGGTCACTAATATTGCACACAGATGTCTATTTTTTTTCTTCCTGGATTATTGGTATATTATTCTTTTAGGTGCATAATTTCCAGAACATATTTATGTAGCAATCTTACTGGACCAAGAAGTTAAGCATTTGGCAAAAATTATGATAATTTTCCTTTTCTTATTTTGGCACTGAATATGCTTTTTTTTTCCTTTAGAAAACACCAAATACTACATATGGAATTCGCACATTTTTTCTTCCAAGTTTTTGGGCCAGTGCTCTCTCAGCTACACCCTACTTGTTATATCTTCTTACTTTATTCCTTCTTTCATATAGGAGCTCAAGATATTGCATACAGTATTCTTTTCTCTCCTTGTTTTCCCCACAATCACCACCTTCTCAATAGGTTGGGCTTAGAGAGAGTGCATGGCCAAAAATCACCTAGTGAGTTTCCATGAGTCAGGGTGGACCTAGGTCTTGCCAGTGCTATTTCAACATTTAACCACTATATTGCACTTTGTTCTTTTTTTTTCTTTTTTTTTTGACATGCCTATCAATTCATTTTCACTTGTTCAGTCTTAGGTCTCACATTCTTCATTAAAGTAAAATTGACATGTATTATGTTGTCATTACTAAAGAATTGATTTAAATCTGTAGAGATTTATAGAACTAAAGCTTTCTTTGCCCACTAATTAATAGTGCACTGAAAGCTATTTTCTATGTTCTTTCTTCTCACCTGAACAACTTGTCCAAAGATTGAGGAACTTTCCAGAACACCTTAACAAATATTTATTATTATTTTAGAGAAAATTACCCTGGCAGTTACTGCCTTGACTGCAATGCAGTTAGAACCAAGCTCTTTATAGCTGAAGAAAAACAATTCTTGTTTTAATATTACAAAGCTTATGTGAATGCCCATGAAACCTGTATTGCTGCAGAAAATGTATGTTTGATATGCTGATGTATCTGCCTGTTTCATTGTACAGATAGTCCTTGACTTGGCCAACATGCAAACAATACACATGTCACATGATCACATTTTGTGATGCTCGGTAACCAGCCCAAGTGTATGATTGTTTGCAGCATCCTATGGTCATGTGATGATTTACAACTTTTTTTTTCCTCTGGAAGCCAGCATTTGAGGTTTCTTGCAAAAAAAAAACCCATTGCGGACAATGGGTTCACTTAACAACCAAAGCATTTGCTTAACAACCATAGTGATTCACTTTAACGACTGTCACTAAATGTCATAAAATCAGCTCGGTCATATGATGACCCACTTAATTTGGGCTCAACTACAGTTGTAAGTCAAGGACTACCTGTAATACTTTGTCACTAGATGCAGCATATTTGGTGGTCGTATTACAGGTATTTCTTGACTTAAAACCACAACAGACCCCCAGATTTCTGTTGCTAAGCAAGATGATTAAGTGAGTTTTTCTCCATTTTATGACCTTTCTTGCCACTGTTAAGTGAATCACTGCAGTTAAGTTAGTAACATGGTTGCTGAGTGAATCTGGCTTCTCCTTTGACTTTGCTTGTCAGAAGGTTGCAAAAAGTGATCACATGTTCCTGGGACACTGCAACTGTCATAAGTACATGCCAGTTGCCAAGCATCTGAATTTTGGCCATATGACTATGGGGATGCTACGACTTTGTAAATGTGACAACTGGTCATAAGTCACTTTTTTCAGTACCATTGTAACTTTGAACCATCACTAAATGAATGGTTGTTAGTGAAGGACAACATGTATACAACACAATTGAACTATCACTTGTAAAATATTGAATGTGTTTCTTTGAATGCCTCTTATAGGATGCACAGACTTCTAGAACATTAACTCTTATATCAAAAGCAATTCAGACACTGGGAAGCTGGGGAAGCTTATCCAAAAACAAGCTAGTAAGTATCACACTGAAATTACTTTAGTCTACTGGCATATCTCTATAAAGATTTACTTTTATCTATTTTCCCTTTTTAGTCAAGCTTCAAGGAGACGTTTATGTGTGAATTTTTCAAAATGTTTCAAGAAGAGGAATACATTGAAATAGTCAAAAAGGTATTGTTTCCTTTATATATAATATTTGGCTTTCTCAAAAAAAAATTGTTTTCCTGGCTTTCCTGCAAAATCTTAGAAAATTTTACCATATTCATTTTTCAGATTTAATCTGAGTTACAGATTAAATCTAATTGTCCAGCACAGGTCTCTCTCTCTATATGTTACATTTAAACTCCACTTGTTTTAGTAAAATACTTGGGAGGAGTGTTTTAAAAATACATGTATAGTAAATGCAAAGGAAAAATGTAGAACAACTTTCAACTATTAAAATGTTCATTTTACTTAAAAATAAGTTTATTTTAATGTTCTAAATATTTGTTAATTTTTAGGATTCTGGGTAAAATTGGGAAAATAATTCCTATTATTCTAATATATTCTCCATATTCAGTTTTTAGATGAAGTGTCTTCCACGGAAAGTAAAGAGCCAAGTGTCATGAATGAGCCATTGCATCTAAAAGAAGGGTAACTTAATACAAAAGTACAATGTGCAAGGCTGTAATTGATTTTTAAAAAATACATCAAACGAATATGTAAGATTTATGACACTTTGAATATAGTAGTTCCAGGCAGAATTGTAGTATTTCATTTGCAACTGCTTATGAGTTTGAAGAAGTTGCCCTGAGGCTTTGTGAGACCCTGAATGTTAAAATTTGGGCTTTTGTAGGGATTCCTATTAACCTAAATGTAAAATATCTTCTTCCCATGAACAAGATTGCCCTACCCTGCCCTTTTACTATCTCTATAAATCAAGCACGAGCAAACATTTCAAGTGCTAATTACCATTGTGTTTTGCTGCCGAGAGTATGAAGCCAGAAAATAAAAATTAACAAATAATTAAAGAGTTCAAAAAGTACAGCCTTAAAGGAGAATATTTCTAGCTCAGGGTTGAAATGAGGGATGCTTGGTGCTCTTTGAGCTTGGTTGTTTTCTTGCAGACATTTCATTACACAAACTAGATAACATCATCAGCGTTAATGATGATGTTAACACAAATACTGGCATTGATGATGTTACCTAGTTTGGGTAATTACAATCTTGCATGAGTTCAACCATTTTTAAAAGGAATTTCATGAACAATATTCAGAAGTGGTATAGGCATTACCTTGTTGACTTTTACTATAGTTTAGAATTCTATGAAGTTATTTATAAATGGAATCTATCTATATAAGGATGTTCTTTTATATAATGAAGGAAAATACAGGTAGTCTTCGATTTAACCAACATTTCATATAGTGACTGTTCAAAGTTACAATGGCACTGGAAAAAGTGTGAAAAACCATTGCAACATCCTTCTAGTCACATGATCAAAATTAGATGCTTGGCAACTGACTCGTATTTATGATTGTTGCAGTGTCCCAGGGTCATGTGATCTTTTGTGACTTTCTGACAAGTGAAGTCAGTAGAGAAGCCAGATTCACTTAACAGCTGTGTTACTAACTGAACAACTTCAGTGATTCAGTTAACAATTGTGACAAGAAAAGTCGTAAAATGGGGCAAAATTCACTTAACAACTGTCTCACTTAGCAACAGAAATTTTGGATTCAGTTGTGGTCGTAAGTCGAAGACTACCTGTATGTTAAAAAAAAAATATCTTCAAATTTTGTAAACGTTTCTTGCTTTATGTAGTAAATTATAGTAACAGTACCAATAAATAATTGTTCTAGTTTATACCTGTGGGTTTTTACTATATTCACTTTTCATTGATATTCCTAAATTAGATTCCATGACAATTTTGGGTTTGTAGGAAAATTGTGGTTTGTTTTTTTTTTAATATTGTGAATGGTACAAACCTAGCATAAAATGTTAATCAAACCCTATAAGTTTTTACATGTCACCTCTCTCATACAACTAGAATAGAAAGCATAAAAACAGAGTGAGAGGGGAGAAAAAAAGAAGAGAGCAAGAAAGAAGAGAGTGCACTAAAGAGGAAAGGAAAGAGAAATAATATAGGAAAGAAACTGCATGGCGTTTAGTTTAGCATGCCTTCATGCTGAATCAGGGAATCAGTCCTCAATACTTTTTTGTCCTGGGCATGGCTGATTTGTTTTAAGATCAGGAGTTGAATCCATTAATCTAACTCAGGGGTAGTCAACCTTGGCTCTTTTATGACTCGTGGACTTCAACTCCCAGAATTCCTGAGCCAGCACAGCTGGCTCAGGAATTCTGGGAGTTGAAGTCCACGAGTCATAAAAGAGCCAAGGTTGACTACCCCTGATCTAACTTGTAAACGAATACATCTGGATAGCCTATTAGGAAATTTGAAAATATTTGTGAAATAATGTTCTTGTATTTGTTTCATAGGGAGATGTTCAAAAGAGCACAAGGAAGAACTCGTATTGGAAAAAAGAATTTCAAAAAGCGTCGGTTCTGCCTTACAAGTAGAGAACTCACTTATCGTAAGCAACAAGGTATTCTTTTTTTTTTTTTGAATGTTAACCTTTCAAGTTACACAGCTTGGCCTGATGGTGATAAACTAATTATGTTCTTCAATTCCAATGGTTAAGAGTACATTAAAACATTGTTCAGTATAAACAAATAAATAAAAGTACTCTTTCATGTTTTTAATTACAGATGTATTAAGTTTGCAAAATTATTTGCCATTGGGCTTATATATCTGATTTAACCAGGACAGTGTAGACACTTTTGAGTCTGAGAACCAAAAAATGAAATATTGGATTCTTTTTCCTGCAGGATTATTCATTCATTCATTGTTGGGATTTGCAAGGTTCTCTGGTTAATAGACTCGGGGCAGCATACATGAAAAATCAAAACCTGTCAAAATCCACAAAAATAATATAAAATCATAATAATTAACGACAGATACTCTCCCAGCAGAATACACTCAGTTACCATCCTGACCAGATACTCCACTATCCTTGTCTTCGTGGCTCTATGAAGGGATCACATATAATGTGTTCCACCGGTATTTATGTTTTGCGTTATCTTAAACAGCTAAGGTTTTATTTATAATTAAAGGATTTGCTATTTTTTTCTTAATCCAGAAAAAGAACCTATATTCACCATTCCAGTCAAAAACATTCTTGCAGTAGAAAAACTTGATGAGGGTGCATTTAACAGGAAAAATGTAAGTAACTTTTGAAATAACAGTCAAGCATGGAAAATTCTAAATTGTCATATAAAAGTGAGAACTTAAATGCCAGGATACAAAAATCTATTCAAATTCTTGTTGCCTTACTGAAAAACCACTTGTATGTTGATTCTGAACTACAGGGAGTCCTCAAGTTACAATCATAATAGAGCCCAATATCGCTAAGTGAGATAGTTGTTAAGTGAGTTTTACCCCATTTTACAACCTTTCTTGCCACAGTTGTTAAGTGAATGATCACAGTTGTTAAGTAAGTAACACGGTTGTTAAGTGAATCTGGTTTCCCCATTGACTTTGCTTGCCAGAAGATTGTTTGTGCGGACCAGTTGCTGGTATGCTGCGGCCCGGTACTGGTTCACTGAATGGGGGTTAGGGACCCCTGATCTAGCCTATTACCTGTTCTTTCAAATCTCCCAGTGGTGCACTCATCACCACTGTAAATGAGTCCATTAGCCTTACTACTGGTTGCCCTTTTTTTTCTATCTTTCAACACTTGATCCTTTTCCAGGGAGCTGGATCTTTACAAAACATGTCTGAAAAAGGATAATTTGAGCCTGGTCATTTGTGATTTCAGTGCAAACTCTGGGTTGATTTATTTGGTGCTCTATTGTTTTCTTGCTTGTCCATAGTATTCTCAGGAGCTTGTGCAATACCAAAGTTTAAAAGCATCAATACTTTATCCTGCTTCTTGCTTTTTTAAACGCCAATAGATATTTATGAGCTTATTTAAAAATCAAGAGCACAAGGAGTTTGGGTGGTACTAAAAAGAGAAAATTAGTAATAATACTCTAATCCCTCAATGCCTGACTCCTATTTGTCATACCTATTAATTCATGTTGTGGCAGAGTTCTCTTCCCTGCATCTCTTCTAAGAACAACTAGGGAGTGATTGTTTCCTCTCCTCTTTTCCTCTGCCTTGGGGTATCCTTACGTGTCTGATGTTAATCATGGATGAAATTGGGCAGTCTTTCAGCTTAGAAGCAAAAATGTGGATCACAAGATCCCTCCTTTTCTGTGCAAAATGGAAGTTAATACATTAACCAATATCTGTTACATCAAGGCAACCATTTGGATAAGTGTCCAGTCTTCTGTTTTCAAAGTTTTTAAATAATACATAAACATTTTTTTTAAATCTGCCGATGTTCTTTTTTCTCTCCTATAAATAAACTGTTGGTTGTTTGAACAGAGCTGTTTTCTTTTTCAGATGTTTCAAGTAATACATGTTGAAAAACCACTCTATGTGCAGGCAAATAATTGTGTGGAGGCTAGTGAGTGGATAGAAGCTCTCTGTAGAGTGAGCAGATGCAACCAAAAGAGATTGAGTGTCTATCACCCATCTGCTTTTTTGAATGGAAATTGGCTTTGCTGTAAAGCCACATCAGAAAACACAGTGGGCTGTATGCCATGTACTGCGTAAGTAACATCTGCACGAAAAATAACATATGCATGTTTTGGAATAGAAATAATGTTGCTTATAATATATTGCTGTAACTTAGGTTGCCTTCCTAATGACCAAAGGGAGGGAGGGAGACGCATATCAGAATTACACATGTACTTGAGATTAGTAACTGAACATTATTAGATTTGAAAACATATTAATATTTATGGCAACTTGTCATCAAGTATGATTATGAAACAACATAGATTATTACTCCTATAATAAATGAATGTATTTAAGTTGCCATTTGGAAATGAGTTTTTGTTCTTTGCAACCTGAATATATATCAATACTTTTCCTTCTTTCTTTCTTTCCTTCCTTCCTTCCTTCCTTCCTTCCTTCCTTCCTTCCTTCCTTCGACACTGAGCATTTCACAATAAAATCCACCCAAAACATAATATACTATAAAAAAGCAATAAAAGTTTACTATAACTATAAAGTAAAAAAAATATGTGGCATCCATAATACATGTATTGGTGGAAGCAAGGATTATTTGCAAGAGAAGGAGATATACTGAATTGGCATAAATTAGATTTAACAATATTTCTCATTTCAAGCTTTTGATATTTTGGGATTGATATTTCTTATTCTCTGTGCTTTATATACTGTTGCTTACTCAAAACAATCTGATGATTATATGTGTATGTGCCTAGCTTTCAATCTTATTCCTGGTTATTTTTTTTACTAAAGAGATAGTTAATTGATGCTTGCTTAGTGAGGATTTCTCTGCCTGAAGCAGTTACAGAATAGAGAGTGGGATTTAATATGCTTCTTATTTTTTAACCCTAATCTTAAATTGTTTCGGCATCAAATAATATGAATGTTGTATACATGATTATTGCATGATATAAGGAATTAAGTTGCAATTGACTAGTTTCACAGACGGGTTTGCTATAGCTTTATAGGCTGTTACAATTAATTCTAGTAGGCCAGATATTAAGGTACGCCACATATTAAGAATTCCTACCTATCATGATACAGCTGTAAGTATAAATGATCTAGAAGTTTTGCACATCTACATTGCTTGTTTTCCCTTTTATTTGTATATGCATTAATATATAGCTAGTAAATCTTCTTTAAAATTAATATATTTTGTAAAATTTTGTATTTCTAATTGAAGAGGTGTTCCTGCTGACATTCAGATAGAAATAGATGGAGATCGAGAAACAGAGAGAATCTACTCACTCTTTGCAATCAGTATGCCGAAGCTCCAAAAAATGCAAGGTATGAAAGACCCATTTGTCAAAGTACCTCAGTCAGTTTTGTAATATTAATACCTATTAGCTATTGTCCAAATTGGTAATCCCATATCCATTCTAGGTTCCTAATTTTCAAATATAATAGGTTGGCTCAGGAGAAAATCATGTCGGACACAAATGATGGACTTCTTCCAGGCTTTTCCTAGCTGTTCCTCCTCAGCCCCCAGCACTACAGTACCCCATACTCATTTGGGAATCTCTGATCATTGGGAGCTTTTTTATAAGGATGTCAGGCTTTATTATGTATAGAGGAGAATGGAGAAGATGGCTTCTGGTAGACTTCTTCCTTGCCTTTGTTTGCACAGTTGCTTTTTTCAAGTGTTAAATAGAGAAAAACTCTGCTTAAATTCAATTATTTGCTTTCAGTTACAGTGCATTCAGAAAGTATTCAGGCCCCCTTCACTTTTGTCAATTTTGTTATTGCAGTCTGATTCTACAGTTGTTGAAATTCATTTTTTCTCATTAATCTACACAGGCAATACCCCATAAAGACAAAGTGAAAACAGAATTTTAGAAATGTCTGTAAATTTATTAAAAAGAAAAAACTGAACTATCACATTGGCATAAGTATTCAGACTCTTCAGACCCTTAGTACTTGTTGAAGCACCTTTGGCAACAATTACAGCCTCGAGTCTTTTAGGGCAGAGGTCCCCAACCTATGGGTCGCGTCCCACTACCGGGCTGTGGCCTCTTGGCCACCGGACCGTGTGAGTGGCTGAGCAGTGTTGCACGTGCGCATGTATGCATGCTCTTGTGCTAGCTGAGCCGCGAATCTCACACCGCTGCTAGGAGAACCATGAGCCTCGCTGGTGCTAGGCAAGCCGCGAGCCTCTCACCGGCACTAGGAGAGCCAAGAACTATGCACTGGTGCTAGCAACCCCCATTGCGGAGCATCATGCTCACGGCCCCCTTCGTGCGCATGCAGCCACATTTATGTGTGTGTGTGTGTGTGTGTGTGTGCGCGCATAAAAATGCCTGTCCCTTTCCCACCAGGCCGCCAACACAGAAAGGTTGGTGACCCCTGTTTTAGGGTATGACACAATAAGCTCTGCAAACCTGGATTGGGGGATTTTCTGCCATTCTTCCTTACAAATCCTCTCAAGCTCAGTCAGGTTAGATAGCGACCATTGGTGGACAGCCATTTTCAGGTCCCTCCAGAAATGTTCAATAGAGTTCAAGTCAGGGCTCTGGTTTGGCCACTCTAGGACATTCACAGAGTTGTCCCTAAGCCACTCCTGTGTTGTCTTGGCTGCTTAAGATCATTGTCATGTTGGAAAGTGAACCTTTGGTGCAGTCTGAAGTCCTGAGTGCTGTGGAACAGATTTTCATTGAGGATATCCCTGTACTGGAACTCATTCAGAGTAACCATTGGGTTCTTGGTCACCTCTCTTACTAAGGCTCTTCTCCCCCCAATTGCTCAGTTTGACCGGGCGACCAACTCTTGGAAGAATCCTGGTTGTGCCAAACTTCTTCCATTTGAGAATTATGGAGGCCACTATGTTTTTAGGAACCTTCAGTGCAGCAGAAATTTTATTGCAGCCTTCCCCAGATCTGTGCCTTGCAATAATTCTGTCTCTGAGCTCTGCAGATAGTTCCTTTGACCTCATGGCTTTTGCTCTACTACAGTATGCATTGTCAGCTGGGAGGGCTTCTATAGAAAGGTGTGTGCCTTTCCAAATCATACCACAGATGGAGTCCAATGAAGGTATAGAAACATGTCAGTAAAAGAAATAGGAGGCACCAAAGCTAAATTTCAGTAGCCCAGCTGGATAAAACTTGATTCCCAAATAATGAACATCAGATATAATCACTCCCTGGTTGTTGCAAAGAGTCTGAATACTTACGCGAATGTGATATTTCAGTTTTTTTCTTTTTAATAAATTTACAGACTTTTTTAAACTTCTGTTTTCATTTTGTCATTATGGGTTACTGGGTGTAGATTAATGAGGAAAAATGAATTTCAATAACTACTAGAATCAGATTGCAGCATAACAAAATTGACAAAAGTGAAGGGGGTCTGAATGTGCTATATTTAAGATACGGTTCTCAAAGTATCCTGCCAGTGTAAATCTCAGTTACTGCAATATGTGTTAATAAACCCTACATTTAAGAAGCTAATACGTGGAAGGGAGAGGTCTCTGTTGAAGCTGAATCTACATCCAAGTAGCGTGTATTTGATTTGATTTAAGCCTATCCATACACCTGTAGCAATAGTGGAAGTGATCTTTGTGAATTTAAAGCTCCAGCAGATCTGTCAAAAGGGTATTGTAAGCCTTCCCCAAATATGGGATTGCAGAATCAGACAGTGATTATATCTGATGTTCATTATTTGGAAAATCTAATTAGGGCTACTTCTTCATTTATTGTGTACTTTAGGTTAGTTTTTATGCATTATATATAAAGTCTGCTGATCCAAGGTCCATTAAATCAAGAAATTGTATGACAGCGCCATCTCCTGGATATTCAGACTTGATGGAATTTACAAATTTATGAAAGAAGAATGTAATAGCCTTTTGATCCTTTTATATTTTTTCATGGAAAAGTTTGTACTTATTAGTCCAGATAACAACTAATTTAAATTGTTTTAATTTACACTGATAAATTAATGAACTAACATGAAACAATGTTCTGTTATGCCCCGAAAATACCCTTTGTTATTTTAATTAATCACATTTATGGTAAACCTTATGTCTGAAAATATAGAACAGCAAAACTTTGTTTCTTGAACATTTAAAGCTTTGTAATACTCTAATTTATACTTACTTTTAGAGGCTTGTGGAAGTATAGCAGTCTATCAAGGTCCACAAAAAGAGCTAGATGACTATTCTAATTTCAAAATTGAGGACTCAGTAGCAACTTTTCAAACTCTTCAGCAAATAATATCTATTGTAGAACAATTGGACATGCATCATGATAAGTATCGAGAAAAAAGATCATCTAGTGCTAAATATGGCAGTGAGTAAGTATTGTAGGTAATTCTACCATTACAACAGGCTTGTCTTTTAACAAACTGCAACTAAATGTTAATGTAATTCTGTGACCACGTAGTCATCTAATGCAGGGGTCCCCAACCTGTGGGCCACAGCCCACTACTGGGCCGTAGCCTCTTGGCCACCGGGCCACGTGAGTGTCTGGCTAGTGTGTCCGTATATGTGTGTGCATGCACTCACCCCCACTCACACTAGCTTGTATAGAACATGGAATTATCTCTGAGGGAGATGGGCAGTTAAGAACACATCCTTCATTCTGCAAATCTTAATACAGTAAAACCTTGATTTAATGGACTGGTTGGGAGAGAAAATATTCAATATTTCCAACTGTTAAATGTGAAAATACATTCTTTGAACTTGTTTTCTCCTTTCTATAGGGATGTCATTACGCAAATTATATAAACTGCCTCAGGTTTTAAAAAATTAAGATAGGACTGAAGTAAATTTAACTTCCTCATCCAGATTATGCAGAATGCAGTTTTCTTTATTTGTGGAAGATATCCAGGTGGATTTAAGTCTGCTCAGTGGTGATCAGTAAAATTGAAAATTTATTGTTGTCAGAAAATACAGCACTAATTGTAAGTGAAAAATAATTTTTAACTTGCAGTTTCTAACAAATAGTTAAATACGGTTCTTTTTTTTCTTTTGTAGAGAAAATCCAATTGTTGGAAAAATTTCCTAATCAAAGGCACTTCATCAGAGATTTTGAAAGAAAGGAATTGGACTAATTTTCACTCACAAAACAAACTGGTTTTGTGATTATTCCGTGAATTTAAGAATATGCATTTCCTGCAAATTAGCTGCATTCATAAGTTTATTTAATATTTAACAGTGGAAAGAACAGTGTCGAATCAGATTTCTGCAGGGATAAGGGAAAACATAAAGAACTTAACATACAAAAAAATGAAATAAGGTATCTAAAGTTGGGAAGATCTTCTAAAGAAATAAGCTTTCTAAGGAAAAAAACAACTACCACCTTCAGTTGGGATTTTATCTGCCAGGATAATCATCAGCTTCTGTGACTATCACTATTATCTGGACAAAGAAATTCTGACAGGTGACAAAAGGATTTGAAGCTTTACATTCAGCACACAGTCACTTTTAAAGCTTCCTTTCTTAACCTACAGTAGAAATGTTGCTTTTCAAAAAAAAAAAAAAAAGGAACAAAATGATGGTACTTTTTCAAAATGTGCATTGATAATTAGCAAAGTTATGTTATTTAAGCGGTATCACTGAAGCAGGACAAGTCAGGGAATCTATATGTCTTGTTTACAGTTGGAGTGAATAGTGAAAGATGTGATGTGGAATCATTGGTTTTTTCTTTTTGAAATAACATATTGTTAGTATTTTTAGTGATTGGGTTTCGGAGGAAAATGTATGCTGTTCAGATAATACGATAGCTGAATACCATGTGGCATATCATTAGTAATTTTTTTTAAAATGCCTAAAGGTACATGGTATACAGTGAACATTGCCATACCCAATTGTAACTAGCTGTTTTTGAAAATCACTCCAAGCACTTTACATATCTGGTTAATCCCAGATTATAATTCTAGATACTTTATAGTATCTAATCATTATGATCAGTTGAATGATCACTACTGTGGCTTAAAACCATATTTTATGAAATTTTATATCTAGGGTATTTTTTACTTGCCAAGTAAAGTTTTGAACTAAGCTTTACTTTTAGAACTCTTAATCTTTCCTTGTTGTATTTGTACCTATAAACTGATAAAATGACTGGTATGTAATAAATATGAACAAACTCTTGGGAGAGAAAAAGGCTAAGTTTTTAAAATCAGTATTATATGAAGTCATCAGAAGTCAAGCTTAACTCAAAAGAGACTTTACCTTTTCTTTACTGAATGTGGTACTACAGAAGACTGGCCTTGGGAGCAATTTATTAAGCACTATAAAAACCAGTGAATTTCCACTGAAGTATAACATTCATGATTTTCTGTTTATTGGTCTCCTTACCTTTTAATACTCCTGGTTTACTAATATTTGCCTCCACTCATTAGGATTGCTTTCATTGTCTAATAGAAATCTAAAATAAGGACATTTAAAAGATAAAACTGGCTTAAATACTACATGATTGTAATGGTATTATGCTAGCAAAATAAGAAAGCTTGCCATTAAAGTAAATATTCTGATCCTAAGACTGGACTAGCCTCTAAATTAAATGCACCTAAATAGAACTTCTTTTTCCCAATAGTTGGTATCCATGCCTTATCATTAAATGTTTTTAATACTTTTGTTTGAGGCATAGATACAAAAACCTATTAAAACAAACAAGCTCACTGGATATATAAATCTATCAATGCGGATTGTGCATTTTGGGTAAAATGTAAGGGAAATTAATAATTTAGTGACAGAATGAATGACACAGATTGTATAATAAAAGAGATATAAACCTAGAATGCAAAGCAAAATGCAAGTGTAATGTAGAGGACTTAAAATAGAAAATTGTGTCTATGTAGTCACCTAATTTACAGCCTGAACGTCTTTTATGCAAAATATCAGAAAAACTTTGCTTCTGTTCCTTTAATAAATTTTATTTCCAAAATTAAAATACAAATTTCAACAGAGAAAAGGGAAACAACAACAAAGCACTAAACAAGACAAAAAAGTACATTAAAAAACCATGTATATATATATAGTTGATTACAGATAAATATACTTTCCCCCTTGCAAAATAGGTCTACGAGTTTATAAACTTCTACAGCTCTATTTGCCCAACTAATTTGACCTACCATCTGTTTACCATAAGAAAAGTTTATCAGATAAACCCCACAACAAAACTAAACTTCGAAGTCTTCTTTTAACAATATATTCTTGTATTTCACACACAGAAAGTACACAACAGCTTCTAATCTACCATAAATCACTGCAATAATTACCTCTGATCTGTCCAGGATCAAATCAATCTTGATTGTTTTCCTTAAAATTATGAGCATTAAAATATGCTTTCATTACTATGCATATATATATTCATTAATATACTTTAATATATTCGGGAACTGCATTATGTTTTAGTATAAGAAAAATATGAAAAATACCAATTTTATACATAATTTAAGCATGGAGATAAATAATCTTTGAGTTTAAAAAAGAAAGTGGATCCTTGATGAAGTATTACATTTTCACAGATAACTATGAATCTTATCATCCATGGATGGAAAAATTAGAGATTCGCCCACATAAATTCAGGCTTCCTTTTTGTTCCTAGACTGTCAAATAGGAAACAGCTATGGGTCAGCCGAAAATCTTCTAGATTTGTAACTATCAGCCCAAGAGCTATTTTATACCTGTTTACAGCATTTGACAGTAAGAAAAACATTATTTCCTTCCTGGGTTATGCCAGATCCATAGGGTATAAGTAAATGTGAATTCTTCCGCCCTGAATTACTCCTATAACATCAATTTAAAATTGCTCTATTGAAATATATAGACAATAGAAATGAAAGCTTTATTTTGTTCTGAAAAAATTAGCATTTGAATAATAAATGGAAATAATTTACAAGCTTTAGAACTGCATTTTGTCTCTCTGATTTTTTAATTAGATTTTTCTGTGTAATTGTCATACAGGAATATTGTGTACAGAAGCTCAACCAGCCAGCTGCTAAGCTATTTCCACCTCAAATAGCTAATATGCTGTTGTTTTTTAGTGTATGGAAGAGGCTAAGTTGATTTCCCCCCTAAGTATTTGTCTAAAAATGTTCATATATTTATGGTAGGGTTTCTTCAATCCTGTAGACAGGTGTGGAAGATGACCATTTGACAATCTAAGAGCATAGCTAACTATTGGCCATCAATATATATGATTGAATTATATTATCTGGAGACTTTTAGGCAATCAATCTGTAGTTACAAATTTGAAATATTTGCTTATATGCTGAATTACAGCATTACTTCATTTGATCATCACTTTGTCATTCATTCAGTTCTAATATTAATTGAAGTAGGCTCTATTCGTGGGATTTTAGTAACCACATAATTGTAAGATGCTACTCAATTCTTAATACTTTTGGTATTCATTCCACGTAATCCTTTTGTTTTCCAATCACAGCTAGTCCCTTTTGTTATAATAGGATTTGCAGGGAATATACCAATACCATTTCAGAAAGCATGGCATTTAGTATTGAGGATTTCATTTTGCAAATAGTATTAAAAGATGGTACATTTATAATAGTTATCAATAAAGAAAATAAAACTCTTGTTAGTTTGGGCATTGTTGCCTACATCTATATTATCAGCTTTATGAAGTAATTGTTGAGGGCATCATTGGGAATGATTTCTAGAGAGACAGAGATGAAGAGAAAGGACCATGAAGATACTCTCAAGACATCCTCCAACTGGACTCTGCTCTCTTCTATCATCTTCTACCAGAGGTTTAGTTCCACTAACCAACTGCCCTGTAGGAAGGATACCAGAATCTTTTTTTTTTTACAATTATTTATTTGCTTTTTTATTTATGCTTTTTGATAACTGCTTGCAAACTGCCTTGTAAAATATAAGTCAGATTATAAATAATTGTCATGAGAAATAATTTTATCCTACCAAAGTCGTGATTGATTTTTGGGCTTTATGCAAGCTTCATGCTTGTGGATAGGTTCATATATTAACTTTGTGCTGAATCAGCCTTAGCGTTAATGAATATTTTCCCCTTGCAAATGATTTCATTTTCTATCTTACTGAATTTGAGGATTTATTTTGTGTTTATTTTTCCTGGCCTTTTTTTTTAGATTTCAGATAATAGTTTGCAAAAGCTGTTTTCTATTTTGCATCTCAGCATTGCAATTAATCCTCCCTGGTTGTCCATAAATTCCAATCTCTTAGTAAGCTGCAAAATGCTGGAGAGATCCTTATACAGTGAAGGACAGGGCATTCACAGATATCCTGTGACCATCATGACTAAATAAGTATGAAAACAACACTTTGCCCAAGTGAATTTCACCAAAATTCTCTCCTCTGAAATAAAATTTGTAAGCAAGCTATTTTAAATTGAATTGGAACAGAGAAAGGGAAAACATCAGAATTTTTAACATAGTTTTAATATAGTGTTAGATGAAACATTTATTTTGTATTTGGATTGCAATGTATTGCCCACTATTTATAGAGTCTAGCACACATCTCATACAGTTATTCATTTTTTCCTCTTTACCAGAATTCCTGATTGCAAATTGACTTAGGTTTTTGAGCAAATAATGTACACTATCCTTATTTTTGTATGATACCTTTTTTGTATTAAATGACTTCCTTGGGCTATCTGCTTGTTCTCTCAGGGATGGGTGCACAGCAGTAGCATCTGAAGCATAGTGTCCTTAAAGTCTTCATTCCAATTTTAACTCACAGGGTTCACATTAATCTTTTACAAATATCAATTTGGCCTTATTGGCCCAGAAATTATTTTCATTTGACAATTATGTTCATTTGGCAAACTAGATTTATAACTATTACAGGAATAAAAGCACTTTCAGAACAAGGTACCATATTGTGTCAATAAAATTTTGAGGCGGTGAAAATCAACATAGCAGCACTGAATTAATTTAAATTTCCATATACCATATCAGTGTCGATGGAAACATAACCAAGTGCCAGAGATAATTCTAGACCTGCCCATGCAATTCTTTTTGTCAATTGTATATTTCCTATGCAGTAGAGAGTCCTACATTATTACATTTTGTACAAATAGGTAAATATTGAAAGGCGTTTCTATTTGAAATAATCCTGAGTAGTATCTGTTCACTACTTAGCTTTGGTTGACAATGTAAATTTAACAGTGTATTTTAATATGTTAATGATGGTATATTGAATATTAATGATGGTATATATATATGTTGTTTTATTTAAAGTTTATTTTCTTAAAGTATTAAAGTATAGCAGAATTGTTTGAAACTTGTTTATTGCACGTTATTTTAGTAGTTCATTTCTTAAGTATATAAAATGTAAATGAAATTTCTTTGTGCAGAGATGTTTAACATCCATAGTTTTGCCACTGAAATCAGTAAAATTACATAAGTATATTCACTAAACTGTTATATGATAAAAGTGTTTTGCCAAAACATAACTTTATGCCAATTTAAATGGACTAAACAAGGACAAGATAAATTGGGATTGTATTCATTGAAACCATCAGAATTGCTTTAAAACAGATACGATTTTGCACAAGTAATAATTGACAAGTGCAAAGTAAACACTTATTTCCTTAACAAAATACATACCTTCAAGATTATCGTTTTAGAACTTATATTCTGAGTAATATAAAGGAAGAGATAAGAGAAATATTTGAGATTTGCAGTGTTCGTATACCAGTGTGATACAAACATCAATTTTACCACATTTACAAACATCAATTTAAGAAACACCGTATTTAAATTCGGGCTCAGAAAATTATATCTCATTATTGGAAATGCTCAGCAACGTTGAAAATGATTTGTGATTTAAAGAGTTCCTATTGCAATAAATAGTACTTATTTAATTAGACAAGGATCTCATTAGGTACATCTCGAGTTCAGGGGAGTAGTATAGTTATTGCCCTCCTAGTACACAGTCCTATGCTCATAGTTACCTTGTCGATTACTTTCATGTACAGAATTCTGTTGTAATGTTAAAGCAGCATATGATGTCACCATGTGAGGTCAATTACCATTTATTTCAACAAGAGCATCAAATATCACCACTTAACCTTTACTCTTTGACAAACTACTTATTAAATTTGGTTCAATTTGTTAATTAACATTCACATACTGGAATATTTGGCTTTTTAATTTTAATACTTTCACTGATCTAAAACATCTTCCAATCAGTGCAAATATTTGCATGTTACAGATGGCTCTAGCTGGATGGATAATGGAATCTGAAAGTAGCATGAGCCTATTTCAAGTATATATACTTGGATAACTTGTCATAAACAAAAAAAAATTTTTATCACTTCCATCCTCTACATCAGGGGTGTCAAACTCAATTTCACTGAGGGCCGCATCAGCATTGCGGTTGCCCTTGGGGGGCCAAGTGGGTGTGGCCTGCTGGGTGGGCATGGCCAGTTCTACATCATTTGCGTCAAGGGTGCCTGTGGGGATCTGGGCAGGAGTGGGACAGATCTGAGAGTCTCTGGCAGAAGGGGGTGGGACCGGGGCAAGTGCCAAGGCAT